GTGAGTGTGGTTGAAGGTGGTAGAGAGGGAGACACACCCACACCCACTCACCCTTCAATATCATTTAAATGATTACGACGAACACGTTCAACATCTGGATCAGATGTAGTTGGTTGAATTTTTTTTTCTTTTCCTGGCTTAATATCTTCCGGATTAGCAAAAGCCTTTCAAAAAATAAATAATATATAAACTATTTTTTTAAAAATTAAAATAATAAATACTTTCTTTCGAAATCGTTGTCGACTAGTTAATAATGACATTAACATCATTTTAAGAACTGATGCTACTGCATAAAATAGAAAACTTCGAAAAACTGTATTACTCAATGTATAATAAAGTGTTGACATTGTTCAATAAATCTAGTTAAAACGACTAGTTTGATAAATATTTATTTATAACGTATGCAAGAAAAAAACAAAGCGTATTTATATATATATGGTTAGAAGTGAATATGACAGAACAAAAAGAGAGATTACAAGACAATAACGTGTGTTTTACTATTCTGTTTTCTATCAAGGTGACGTGTCAAGAGAGAAAGATATTCTTATAGCGTACTTTTTGCATTTCATAGTACGAACGTGCTAGGTACCATCATCTTATTCAATATTAATCATTTTAAAAATAGTTCATCCTCAGTATTTCACTAATTGATATGCTCAAAACAATATGTTTCACCTTTGACAATGAGACATCAGCTTTCAAATGTTTTTATTACGAAGAAATTCTTAATTAAAAGAGATTTTTTTATTTAAATTATTTCGAACTATTTACTATAAAAACAAAAGATGAATTAACCTATTTTTCTCAGATAGTTTTTCACATGACCAATGTAGAGATAAGAAAGACAATGATATCAACAGTTGCTATAGAATATCAAATATGACAAGATAAAATAGAATGTATTGTTAAAAGAATGAATTCTAACGTGTAAGTAGAAATAATGATGATGATGTTAACAATAGTATTCTTTGATAAATTTATAGTAAGTTTTTTATTCTGGTTTATATTGTTCCTATTCTAATATTAGTTGGCATTGGTATGTGTTGTGTTGTTGTACGAGAAAGAAGACGAAGAAGTAAATTTACTTTAATCTTATTTTAAACAAAACTAATTGTATGTTTCAGCTCGTATGACTTGCATAAATCACTGTATTACTCCACTATTATCTCCAGTAGTCAATCCAATCGAACAAACATCAAGAGAAATTAATTCTTATTCTTCTTCTCCTCCTCCGTATACTACAGAATCTCCATTAGATTTTGATGATTCTTTACCTTCATACGATCGTGCGATTAAAAGATCTTTATAAATTATATTTTATTTATATTCTTGTTTATTGTATAAATTATTTTCTAAATAAAATGTTCAAAACAAAATATACAATAAATTCACAAGAACTTAGAAACGGAGAAAGATAACATATTTTTTCAAATATACTGTATGCTATACAGATAATCTTAGACGTAAAATCAAATATAGGATACAGTTTAAGAATATAAATTTTGATTTTTTTTAAAAATATTCAAAATGGTATGTAACTCTTTCAGTTTTTTGACTGTTAATCAAAATTAAAACTTCTGTTGCATTCCAAAGCATTAAAACAAATCCAGAAACAAGATATGACAGAATATCTAATTTTATCCTGGTTACATGCCATTTTTAGTTAGTTTAAGAAACCCAAAATTTCAGATCTTAAACTGTATTCTAAATTTGATTTAAAATATGCTTTTTCAAGAGGATACGCTATGCTCTATTTCTAAATCAAAAAATAAGGCTTCTGGTACTTTTTGTTTGCACACAGCAACTTTCAACGTTTGTATGAATAACTTAAATATTTTAAGATAACTTTTTTGAAAAACTTATTTAAATGAGAATGCAAGAAAAGTGAGTAAATATATTAGTTTATTGCTCGTATTCGTACACACGCATACAGTCTCAAAAATATGTAATAATTTATGAAATCTTTATTTTTTAGTAAAATGATATTTATTTATTTCTTTCGACAAAGTGTTGTTCCATCACCAAGACGTAAAAAACTAATATCAACACGTTGATCATCTCGAATGAAATCATTTAATTTGCGAACAGCTATTGTATCATCTCTTGTATCTGTTTCATCAATAACTTTTCCACTCCAAAGTGTATTATCAACAGCAATCAATCCATTTGAACGTATTAATTTAATAGCTAATTCATAATAATTCATATAATTTGTTTTATCAGCATCAATAAAAATAAAATCAAATGATCCTTCACCATGTTCTTCTAATAACTTCTTCAATGTTTCAATAGCAGATCCAACTTTTAATGTAATTTTCTCACTAACACCTGCTTTTTTCCATAAATCTTGTCGAATATATTTATCATTAATATCACATGCAATTAATTGACCATCAGATGGAAGAGCTAATGCAATTGTTAATGCTGTATAACCAGTAAATGATCCAATTTCGACTAAAAATTGAAATATATTTTTTTCCATTTTATTTTAAAATAAAGAAAAAATATTCTTACTGCATCGTTTACATTTCATAAGTTGAAGAATAACTTGAAAAAATTGTGCTTCATCAATTGAACCAAGCATTTTTGATAAATATCCTAATGAAAAATATTTCAAATATATTTTAAATAATTAAATAATAAATAAAAACCTGGAAGTGAATTTGAATATTGAAGCAATTCATTTTGTTCAGATGTTAAACGAAGTGAATGTTCATTGATATAACGATCAATTGCATCTGATGATTCTTGCATTTTAACTACAGGTACATACGTATTCGTCATATTTCAAAAAGAGAATTACAATGAATTATATTGTTGAAAGATTGAGACTTGTTTTCTGTATAATCAAGATGAAAATAATGATTAACTATATATTTGGAGAACATTTGGATGCCCTTTATATAGTTGCGTGTTTGATACAAGTCAGAATAATTTTTCGTACGATTAATACACTGCGTGCGTCTCGTATATTTCATGAATTATATGACGAGGTAAAGAATGAAAGATAAATATAAACCTGTAACTAACGTATGTTCCTTTAACAAAAGTACGTTTCGTTATATATTTCGATAACCTTTATCGTCGTTTGACACAATCTTTTTATTATTTCATCAACAAAAGTTTGTAAATATTCTTCTCATAGATTAATTCAGATTGTGGATTTATCGAATAACGTTTTTAATATTAGGATGTGGATGCAGCAATACTTATCTTGTTCTTATGATTCCTTTTTATTTGAAGTACTGTCCTTATTTTATACGTCATGTAATACTTTGCTCCCATCTCATTTCGTTCTTATTGTCCTTTTTTTCTTTTATGTTCTCCTATTCTATTTGCCAGGCGAGTATATAAGTGTATGCTTTGTATGACAACGATTAGATTCTTGATAAGAAGAAAAATAACCTAGTGCAATACAATCAGCTCAAAGACTTCTTCTATCAGAAATTGTTACAGTATGAATTGATTTTTTCTTTCCATCTATCTATCCATACCCTTCAAAAACGACTCTCAAATTTCTATGAGAAATTTTGAAATGATGTTAATATAATAGTTTTAATAGATTATTGATAATTTTATATTATAACTGTGCTTTATCTATGATTATAATTATAATTTAACAAAAACTACATAGTAAATTATTGAGTAAAATCATTTTAAAATGTCTATTTGTTTTAATCAGCTTCTTTTAAATTTTAATTTATTAAATATTATAAATTATTATTTTATCCTAATAACATGTATATAAATAATAATTTAAACTAAATAAACTCGTATTTTTGCTACTTCAAACTCAGATATTTATTTCAAAATAACCATAATCATAATCTGGTATCCACCTATGCTCTATCTCATAAGTTATTTCTAATTCGCTTATTTTATGTTTGAATTGATGAAAATGTATCTTCTGAATGATAATTACTTAATAATATTACGTGTAAAGTATTTAATTTTAATAAATGATCTAGTAAAAATAATAAATCGCCGTTATCATCGATTTTATATTGTAGACGTTCAATATTAGAAAGTACTTCACAAAGTTATTTTCTTATTAAAGAGAACTTGAATATCATATATTCAGGAACAGTTATTACTAAGATACTTAAGTCATCAATAATTAATTTTTTTAGATATAGACCACGTTTACCATTAACATATATATCATTGTGATATCGAATGTTAGTTAATAATTTGATATGAAAATATTTTAACAATGGTACATATTGTCATAAATCATAGCACTCATCGAATGAATATTGTGGTATTATTAAATTGATAATTGATGACATTTTGAAGATATTCATTATAGAGAAATCTATTGATAATGTGTATAATTTGAAAAATGTAATATTATTTTGACTAACATTAGAATTAGATATGATTGTATTTGATGGAACTTTAATAAATAAGTTTGTTACATCAAATATTCGAAGATGGGAAAATTCATTCAATGAAAAATATGAAAACAATAATGGTCATCAGGTACAATTAATGAATCAATTTGATTTTCTATTTGCAGATTTAATAATATTTTATAAGATAAGATTCTTCCGGATGCTTGTCTTATTGAAAATACTGACGTGAAAATCTGATGAATAAAAATATTCCTAGGAAACTTAAATAATCCTTTCATCAGTAATGTTCGAATTCTCATTTCTAGTATCAATAACAATCGACTTATTAGTTAAAATTGATTTATAACTTTCTTAAAAAAAAGCTAACAGTGCCAATGAAAAGTCATTTTGTAGAGTACGTTTTACTTTATAATTTTATTCTTGAGATAAATTCTGACTTTTATATAAAAATTTTTCAAAAAAATATATTCGAAAATAAAAATTTTGCTTTTCTCTTGTTCTATTCTGATAATAAATCTGCTTCTCCTTTATTATTTTATTTTATCATATAAAATAATTCAATTTTTTCATATTGATATTGCTAATATACTAATTATATTATTTAATAAATACAAAAAAGTATTTTTTTTTTCTTGTACAGTGTAACAAATATGAAAATCATTCATGAAGAACCGAATACAATGTCATTGGATATTATGATTGTAATAATAATAAATTTGTTTTCTTGTTTCTTTCCTATCAGTTTTGATCGTATAACATATAGAATAACGACCGACATATTTTATTTGTGGTTGTTTTTAGACAAAAAAAATATGTGTATGTTGCTTATCTCTGACAGAACACGCCGAGAGATAATAAAATTAAAAGAGCATCTATAAAAGTAAAGTATATATCAGACATTGACTCGAATCGTAACCTCTATTCAATGCCTAATAAAGATATACCTATTCCGTGTAATGCCCTCTTTCGTTTTTTGTTTTCTATCATAGGTGAAAACGGGATAACCAATAAGAAAATATCAATTTTAAGCTTAGATAAATACAAAAGCTTTGCATTGAAATAAAGACATACACACATACATACAATCTTTTGTTGTCAGTCTTATCTTCTAGTTGTTATAAACAATGTATTCACGTCCTGCAGCTCGTTTAATTGGAACTTTTGCACGTCGTTCATTTACAAGTCAAGCACGTAATAATGGTCGACAACAATATCAATGGTCTCGAGCAAGATGGAATTATGGTAGTGCAGCAGGTACTGGAGTAGCTGCTATTACATTATCAGGTGGTATTGCATTTGTTTTACATGCATCAACTGCACCACAAGATAAAAAATTAGCAACACCATCAAAAGTTGATTATAATGAAGTACGAAAATCAGTTGCTGCGTTACTTGATGATGCTAATTTTGATGATGGAAGTTATGGACCTTTATTTGTACGATTAGGTTGGCATGCAAGTGGAACTTATTCACATCTTGATTCAACTGGTGGATCCAATGGAGGATGTATGCGATTTGAACCTGAAAGTGGTTGGGGTGCTAATAAAGGTATGACTTTATTTTTGTTTTTCTATTAAATAAATATATAATAATGAAAGAAATATTTTACTTTTAGGATTACATTTGGCACGAGAACGTTTAGAAGCTGTTTATCGTGCACATCCAGGTTTAACTTATGCTGATTTATATACATTAGCTGCTGTTGTTGCAATTGAAGAAATGGGTGGTCCACAAATAAAATGGCGTCCAGGTAGAAATGATCATAAAGATGGTAAAAAATCTCCTGCTGATGGTCGATTACCTGATGCTGCACAAGGTGCACAACATATTCGAGATATATTTTATCGAATGGGTTTTAATGATCAAGAAATAGTTGCTTTAATTGGTGCACATTCATTAGGAAGATGTCATACAGATCGAAGTGGTTATGATGGACCATGGACATTTGCTCCAACAACATTTTCTAATGAATTTTTTCGTCTTTTATTAGAAGAAAAATGGAATTTACGTCGTTGGAATGGTCCAAAACAATATGAAGATACAAAAACAAAAACATTAATGATGTTACCAGCTGATATGGCTTTAATTGAAGATCCGGAATTTCGAAAATATGTTGTTGTATATGCTAAAGATGGAGATAAATTTGCTAAAGATTTTGCAAGTGCTTTTGAAAAATTATTAGAATTAGGTATTGATTTTAAAACAACTGATGGAAGTACTCATGGAAAAAATGAATCATTGTGGAAGAGAATTTTTGGTTAAATATAATTGACAATTTAGTTTTTTTTTCATGAATTTTTTTTTATCAATGTGATGCTTTCTTTTTTGGTGATTGGATTTCAAAATCATTAATTTAACATCATCTCAATATTAAAAATATATCTTATACTTTCTAGTTAGATTACTAAAAATAAAAAAAATATTTTCTGTCTAGTAGATTTACCACCTTAATTAAATAAACATCAAATGTCTATTATTCTTTTCTTTAAAGTTCTATATATATCAATGCTTTATTGTTATCAAAAACAAAAGATATCTTGATTTATTTCGATACGAACAATAGAAAATTATCGTAATTGTAAATACTCTGAAATTTGTTGGACTAATATTTAAAATTGGATGTCATTTAAGTGGTCAGTAGAATAAATGAAGCGGTCAGTAAAACAAAAAATTCAAAAATCAGTAGAATTATTGAAATGGTCAGTAATTAGTTTGATAGGTTCATAATAAAATTTAAACGATCAGTAAATAAAACAGGATAGAAAGTAAAAAAATATAAATTTGTACAAAGATGACCTACTTTTCTTTTTTTACTGACAAAAATCATATTTTTTCACTGCTACTTCCACAAAATCTACTGACCAATTAATATATTTACTGATATTTCAATTATTTTACTGACCGTAAAACATATTCCTTTTAAAATTCGATCAATTCGAAAGGAGAAAGATAAACTAAAGTATCAAAATAAATACAAAATCTGTATCTATTTTAGTATTGTTTTATCTTGTCATAATCAGTGTTAATTATATGCAAACAACAATCAGAGATTTTCTTGTAATATCAATAAAATGATACTCAATATGACTTTTTTTATTACTGTTATTGCAAGAACTATAGATGAAGTTACATAAGATAAAACTTATCTTTGATAGACTTGTTATTGCATTTATTTTATTTTTAATCAATTAATAAACTAGTCAACAATTGAGTATTTCAATTGCATATCTATATACGACAAATATTTGTTCTATAAATCCATCTATTTTATTTTATAATGTTTGTTAGAAACAAAGTTCACTTGGTAAACGTTGTAACTTGTGTATTTTTTGAATAATTTTCAATAGAAATAAGATGAAGATGCATTCAAACATTTCTCTAAGAGCTGTAGTCGTTAGAAATTGAATCTTTGTATAGTTTTGACAGTCTTAGAAAAAATGTTTGAATGCATCTTCATCTTATTTCTATTGAAAGTTATTTGAAAAAGTACCGATTCGCCTTTTATTTTGAAATAGTCAGTACATATTATGAATAATGATGATTTCGATTAGTTGTTACTATAAAAAGAATAAATATAACATCTTTTTTTTTAAAACATTTAAAATCAATATTTGCATCGATTGATATATGATCATTGATTTTTTTTAAAAATAGTACTCGAACATAGTAAAAAAGAAGGAGAAGACAAAAAAACCAAAGTTTTAAATATTTGCTTAATTGTTTTTAAATATGTAATTCTGTGATTTATCATTGATTTGTCAATATATAATTAATTCATTCGTTAAATAAAAGTAAAGATACATTAGCAATTTAAAAAAAGAAATCGACAAAGTTATTTGCTTCAATATAAATCTTACTTGAAATCATTCATTTTATTATTCAATCAAATCATTTCAAAACGAAGGTTACTCAAACTTTAGTATTTCTTCACAAAAAATTGTTCATCCGATCGTTATAAATATAAATAAATATGTTTATTTTCATTAGTATTCTTATATTTCTCGTTGTTACGACTAATATTAATGCAGATACTGACGGAAAAGGTAACAATTTATTAATAATGTTTTCTAAAAAACAAATCTTTTTCTTTTTTTTCGTTAATGTTAGGAGCTACAGCAGATTCAACAGAAGTTAGTGTTGGTTGTTTTTCTAGTGATTCCTATGTTGTATTAAATAATGGTGAACAAAAATCAATTGATTTTCTTGAAACAGGTGATAAAATTCTTGCTGTTAATCATTTAAAAGTTAATTCCAGTGAAATGTTTCTTATGTTAGATAAAGAAACATCAAAATTAGGTATTTTTTTCAAAAAAGAAAATAATATCTTCTATATTTTATAGAATTTATTTTTAGCATTATTTTATACATTTCATACAGCTTCTAATCATCATATTAGTTTAACAGGTCTTCATTTAATTCCAATTATTTTATCGAATAATAAAATTAAATATATTGCGGCTAGAAATGTTAAATTAGGTGATCAATTCTATGTACTTATCAATGGTCAATTAAAATCTTCTCCAGTTGTAAATATTACAATTGAATCTAAAAATGGGTATTTTGCTCCATTAACTATGACAGGTAGATTAGATTTAACAATATATATTGAATAAAAATAAATTCTTTTTTAAATTTTAATCAAGGAACAATATTAGTTAATAATGTCTATGCTAGTTGTTTTGCATCTGTAAAAAATCATGAATTAGCACAAATATTTATGACACCTTTTCGTTGGTATTATCAATTTGCTAATTTTATTTCTATAACTGAACCATTTAATAATAATAATCGAACAAATGGAATACATTGGTTTGTTAAACTTATTTATCAACTTGCAATTTATATACAACCTTCAAATTTACAACTTTGATAAACTAGATATATGTATGACTTCATTTTGATCATATTCAACACATGTGATTCTTTTTTTTTATAATTATAATACTCGAATTCACGCTTTTTTCTTTGCTTTTAAATAATAAAAAAAAAGAAAAGATTCTAAATGATTTATTTTTATTGAAAATGTAAAATATAATATGAATGATTAAGCTAATATTAATACATCTTTAATATTTACACTTATATATATGAAATAATTTTTCACCGGCGTGTCAAAAGTTTATCTTGTATATATTTTCGTAGTAGAATAGTGACAGAATTTTTGTACGTGACAGAAAATGGGTTTGATTGACTAGCAAATAGTCATTTGCTTCTTCTATAGGCTACTATATGAAGGTACTAATAATAATTGGATGTGAGAGTTTAGTAGAGCTAATAGCACTCTATGGAATGTAATGTTGAATTCTAGTACAGCTTTTATACTATTGAAACTGTAAATGTTTTCTGATAACCTAATTCCACATAAGATCGATTTTTTTGAAAAATCAGGATAATATGTAAACAAAAAGAAAGTGAAAAATCTCTGAATTCATATTTGGAAAGAGTACAAAATCCCGGTTCTTACTCATCTTATTGTATTCATCTAGAATATTTTCGGTTAGACGAGAAATGAACAAATCTTTTGTCTGGAAACTTATGGCTCACTCGTTATTTATTATTAAGGAAAGTTTTGGTTATTCAATTAACTTTTCACAGAAATCTGTATATAATAAATTAATATTTTAAATTAAAGAAATAACTACTTTCTTTAAGTTATGAGAAAGCATGTGATTGAAATGTCATACTTTCATTTGTTGTATGATCCTTATTTCAATAATATATTGTATATGGCAATAAAAATTATTGTATTCAAACTGTATTATAATAAAAAAAATATCTGATTAACCCTTCGTGGATGTTCTCATTTTTTAACTTCGTGGTTGTTTTGGGATCCATCTGGATCCGCTCATAAAAAACGAAGTTTTAGCGTCATTAAAGCTTTTTATTTGTATATTATAAACATATAGATGCCTCAGTCTTATTAGGATATGAACGCATTTGTGCTAAGCACTGTAAGAGGGCTCCGTAGTACGAATAAGGGTTGAGCAGAATCTTTTGAAAATGATATTGACATAAGCTGAGAGTGACAGATATCACACTCTTTTCACTAAATATGAGTCATTATTATAAGTAGCGAAGATAAAAACCAATCGAAACAAATCGTTAGAAAGGAAACAACACTGCGTGAGAACAAATAGCACCAATACTACCATATAAAATAAGATTATAGCACCATAGTTGTCGTGGGGTCCACAAGGACCCGTAGCTGCATTTTTTCTCCGTTGGACCTACTCATGATTTGTCATATGGGTGGTGTGTACCAACTAAAGACTAGAGATTAGATGTGAGAACCGATCGGAAACAGAAACTTTTAAGAGAGAATTTGGTAAAAAGCTGCGAAGTGGGTCCTCTTGGACCCCACAACATCAACCGAGGGTTAATTGAACTTATCCTTTTTCGAATGATTATAATCTTACAAGGTACTTTTTAGTAACACGAAATTGTTATGAAAAGCAAAAATTCTTTTCATATTAAGTGCAAATAATATTAAAGATTCTGATAAATGTTTTTCTTATATATCGTATGATTACGCTAATTTTAATAGTTTTGCGCAATCTGTTATATTTATACAAAAGATTGAAGTTTTTTTTATTTTTATATGTGCAAATCGATCATAAGTTCGTCTATAGAATTATATGCTTTCTATTTTGTTTATTATACATCTTACGAAAAAATTTGATGAAATCTGACGAGCTCTGACACGGAACGTTTGGACGCTCATATTTCAGCAACAGTAAGCTCAAGAGATATGAAAACTGCTTTAATTGTAAGAAACTCATCGTAACTTCTCGCGCACAAATACATTAAATAAAAGAAATTCGAGGTTTAGGTGAAGAATAGCCTTTACGAATCCATTAAAATTAATATAAAATTCAATATTCTACCCAGTTGCATCCAAAAAACAGAAATATTAGACATTTAGAAAACCAAAGCTTCTCGGAAAATAGCTGAAAATCACATATGAAGAAATTCATCTAGTTTATAGTAACAATATGAAATTAATCAATCGAAAAATGATCTAAAATTTCGCTCAGTGCAAAACACTGTTTTGCATGCTTTTCAGTATGTATTAAGTTTTTAAATCAGATTTAAATGAAATAAAATGATAATTATATAGTTCGTTAAAGTAATCGATGCTTCATCTAACTGTATAGAAACAAAAAACTTTAGAGGTTCTATACAATTTATAGAGCAAAACCGGCAATAATAATGTGATTTTGCTGTATATCATAAACTTTGACTGACATAACATTAATTTTTTTATAGAAAATCGTTTTATTTTCTAAATCATATTTTTAGTAATTACTAGATTGAAAAGTAAAATCCACAGATTTGTTTTGTCTTTGTATTATTCAAATCAAATTGTTTTTTTTTAAATTCGATAAAAACTAGAGAATCAAATTTTCATACCTATTTCGACATTGTGTGATAATATTGAAATCACATGCTGAATCTTCTGAATTATTTCATTCCTGAATCAGCATTGAGTGCAATTAAAAACTTCAAATTTTTTTTAAGAAATGCTCTTAAATTAGATATATGAGCAAGTGAATCAAATGAAAGTACTATTTTGCATCTAACTAACATTTATGTGCAGTCCATCGATGGAGTTTAAATATTATTCGATCAATAAACATGGAATTGATTCATTTTATTTGCTCTCTCACATTGATTTCAACTCTTTCAATGCCAAATACCATCTCGCAAGTGTCATACAGAACGCAAACGAAATATTTTTCATTCTGTAGTCTTAGACGATGTACATCATTTGATCTTTTCAAATTCAAGTTGATCGTAACACATGATCCTCTATGAAAAAAATTCCCATATTTTCTTATGTACAAAAATAATAACACTAGACTTTAAATGCAACTGATTATAAGCATAAAAGGAAAGAAAAGGTCAAGATTGAAATAATTAACGTTACAAAGGGAGTGAAGATATGGGTGTGAGTGTGAGTATTGCCATTATTTCATATCTATATCGATTCATCCACACTTACATCCTCAAGATGATTACAAAGCACAATAACTTTCATTAGATTTTCAATTCAATGATAAATTAACTATATATAATATTCATGATTAATATACTCGACCAGATTTCTAAGGAAAAGTCAATGTTGTTGATAAGCTTATTAATTATCAACTTGAAGAAAATGTTTAAGAATTACTGGATTGTATTTTTCTTAGTATTAATATAATTTTACATGTTTTTTATTATTATTATTAACAATATACTATAAAATAAAAATTCATTAATTAGATAAATATTAATGAAACTGCAGTAATAGTTATTCGTGAAATAAATGATTTAATACATCTCAATGTTAAGTTAATGTTTCATAAAAGAACATTAAAAGGTACAGGAGACTAAAGAATTAAAAAAAGAATTCGCTTTTTTTATTCCAAAATGAATTATGTTAAACTGAAAGAATGTTGATTATTGCTTGCGTGTATTGATTGTTAATAAAATATAATCAGTCGTATTACTAATTTAAAAATCCAACAAAAAAAGGCGTTTCTATCTTACTCCATTTTTATGAATGTTTTTTTTTTAATATATTTATGTTTACTCCGAAAACATAGATTCGATGTTATTTTTCAAGCGGCAGCCACTATTAAAATAAAATATTTCAACATAAAAGAAAATAAGAACTAATGTACATCACTCTTTACAAAACGACGCATTTTGTTTTACAAAGAGTAACAACTTAAAATTCTAGGTGTATCGATAATGAAAAAATGTCCTTAGATTTATGTACTTTTATTTTTATAATAAATCGACTTTTTATCATAGTAATTCACAGGATTACAAGTATTACTTTCAATTGTTTTTATATTATTGTAAGAACTCAAATCTATTATAATCCAATCTCATATAAAAACGAACGAAAAATTCATTTTTGTATTAATTGTTGTAATTTAAACAGTATTTCATCTATACATCGGAATGTACAACAACATATTGCATCCCACTGTTTCGAATAGTGCTAATAGTACAGCTACTAACAAGTCTCAACCTTCACCTCAACCTCAACAGGTAAAGTTTAATTATAATACAAATTCACAAACAAAATGTTTTTGAAAAAGAATCTTCTGTTTTATACTATCGTTCGAATATCAGGAATGTAAATGATGTTAGAGAAATAAACCGATAAAAACAAGACGACTATTGTAAATTGTATATATATAATTCTATTAATATCAAAGACTTCTGATTTATGTCAATCGATTACAATTAGTATATATATAAACTCACTAGTTGTGTTTCAGTTTTCAAACGTTTGCTATGTATTTGTAGAAAAACAAGATATCCCTTTCTTCTCTCCTCTCCCTCAGTCTTTCAGTTTTCATTTAGTTATACTGTTTTTCTAAACGTTCTATTATATTTAAAGCAACAAGCCTCGCTAGTAAGAAATGCATCAACACCACGACAGGTTAGTATCAAGATGACTGAAATCTCAATGATTCCAGAAACAAATACGAAGTTTGTATTTATTAAATAAATATAAAAGAAATCATAATATTTTATGTCTTATATAGTAGACGCCGTTTATTTCGCAGATTTCTTATTTTTCTGCTATGCTGCTTTTGTGTAGTAGGAGCAGCGGTTGTTATAGCCATTGTCATAAGTTTATTAAAATCGCAAGATTCTGATGCTACGACGACTACAATAGCGAACGCAACAGTTAGCGTAACAGTTAGTACAACAATCAATACAACCGTTAGCACAACTGTTAGCACAACCGTTAGTACAACAGTTAGTACAACCGTTAGCACAACAGCTAGTACAACAAGTAAGTTAAGATTATAATAAAATTTGTTTCATATATAGATCTCGATTTTAGTACCAGTTACTTGTGCCACTGGATTATCTCAAACATCTTCGGGAACATGTGTCAATACTCAAATTGATTTCAATAACTGTGGATCAGTTGGTTATGTTTGTTCTTCTAATTATACAAGTTGTTCAACTGGTCTATGTAGTTCAACTCCTGCTGTAGCACTTTCTGGTGCTATTCCTGTTCCTGGATTTGGTGGCTCAATCAGTGTTGATGATCAAACAGTAACAGTTGTATTTCCACTTTCTATTACATTGTATAATTATTCAAGTAACAGTATAACTGTGTCAAGTAATGGAGTAAGCTTTTTCCTACATTCACGTGTATGAGAATCACTTCTATCAAATAATCAATGTAATTTAGGTACTTTGTCTTGCTAGTTGTTCTGCTGCTTATTCGAACACTGCCTTACCAAGTTCTACTTTTGGTGGTCCAACAGTTTTTGGCTTTTGGGATGATCTTTATATTACTTCTGGTAGTTCTCAAACCATTTATTATGCTGTTAGTGGAACAGCACCTAATCGAATAACAACATTTGAGTTTTATGAAAGTCATTATGGCGGACCAACTCAATATTATCATTTTCAGATCATATTTTATGAAAACTTACCAAATATTGTAGAATGTTTGTATTTGGAAACATATGATGGAGGTGCTTCTGCAACTATTGGTGTACAACGTAAGTTCTATTTCTTTTGTTTTTTCATATTAGCAAAATAATTCTCTTCTGTTTGCTTAATTAATAGAATCGGGAAGTGGATCAAGTATGACTTATTTACTAAATCAAGCATTATTGCCAAATAATACAACGGTTATATTTGATACAAGTACTGGTACATTTTCTGGTTAATTATACAAATCCTTATACAATTAAATTGAAACAATAAAAATGCGTAGAACGTATTTTTGCTTTTATAAGTTTTTTTTTCATATAATGCTTTGTTATTTTATGTTTTTTTCTTTGAACTATTGTAAATAGTGAAGTGTGACAATAAAACATAGTACGAAAATGTATATAAAAATTTGTATTTAATATCAGTGAAGATAAAATCTTGTCTAAAAAATCGCATTTTGATAGAGAGAGAGAGAGAGAGAGAGAGAGAGAGAGAGAGCATACAAAGCTATTACAATGAATGGAGAGTTATACAGATACCATATGTTTGAAGGAGCTAGCAGCACATTTGTAATATTCAATATATTTTAATTGTTGCCTTCTAAATTGTGTCTATAAAGAAACACAAACAATTGTCTTTTAAGCGAGATGCTAAAATGATATTACAACATACCGATAGGCTCTTGAAAACAAAGACTATATCTAAAAGACTCATTCTCCTTATGTCTATTACTTGATAAGTCTGCATTATTCCCTTTCGAGACCGAAAACGAAGTATTATTGTGCTGAAAAAATTCAAATTGATTCTAAAATGGTCAATATCCTTTACATTCATAAATATTTTGACTCCAAAATCATCATTGTCCGGTATCTCGAAAGATATGGAATGATAATCATTCGATTTTCTTATTCTCAATTTTTTTAAATCCTTGAACGTTTTAAAAAAAAGAAAAATTCGAAATCTTTAATAAATAACAAACGTAATTAGTAGTCGTTGACGTTATTTTCAATTGTATTTTTACTTTTTTTTATGTAGCTGCTTTAATACATATTATTATTCATATGTATATCCACTTTTTCATTGTAAAAATACGCTTATTCATTATCATTTTTTTTCTCGTCCTACAGATACACAATGTGTTTATTGTTGTCATCATCAAACAAAAAAATAGTGAATGGCTTTTTTTACGTATATTTTTCTTCTGTATGTATATCAACCTTGATGTTTCATTTATAATCACAAATATCTACATATTATTTATTATATTTATCTCGATCAAAAACAAAATAATAGATGGCTTTTGGTGGTCCAATGCAACAAAATCCAGTTGGAAGTTTAGCCGATTTAACTGGTGAATTTCCAGGTGGTTATTATAAAATTGATCATCGAGATACAAACACACTTCTTTCAGTCACATTATTACCAAATGGACAAATCTTTACTCAACCAGGTGCAATGGTTGCTATGACTCCTGATGTTACGCTTAAAGGAAAATTAAAATTTTCTTTTAGAAAAATGATTACAGGTGGTGAAATGTCTCAAACAACTTATACTGGTCCTGGAGAAATATTATTTGCACCACCAGTTTGGTAAGAATTTATCAAAATAAATAATTTTCATTCGATCCTCTATATATATTTATTGATGTATATTAAGGGGTGATATAATAGCAATACATTTAGATGGAAATACTCGTTGGACAGTTGGTAAAGGAGGATATTTAGGAATGTCAGATGGAATTACAAAAGAAACAAAATCACAAGGTTTAGGTAAAGCAATATTTTCTGGTGAAGGTTTATTTGTTCAACAATTTATGGGACGAGGTGTTCTTTTTATTACTTCTCTTGGTGGAATTGTTCAACGTCATTTAAAACAAGGTGACCAATTAATTGTTGATAATGGTCATTTAGTTGCTTGGACATGTACATATTCAATAGAAAGAGCAGGTGGAAGTATTTCAGCTGGTGCACATTCTGGTGAAGGACTTGTCTGTAGATTTACAGGACCTGGAATTATTTATATTCAGGTAAATAAATATATATAGTAGATTACATTTTTTTTATCTTAATATATTTAGACTCGTAATCCAGACGCTTTATCAGAATGGATAGCTGGTCAGGCCCATCCTAGACAATAATTATATTTACCCGAATATAATTGATCATGATTATACTATATCATATTTAGACAATAACTAATTAATTAATTTTTTCAAATATTTTGTTCTTTTTTTTAAATTTCACAAAAATCGAAAAGATTTTGTTTTTCTTGTTTTACTCGAATTTACAAATGGTCTTGAAATTATCAATTCTTCTACTCAATTATTAACTGATTGTATTGAAATAAATTCACAAGATAAAACATAACCATATTAATTAAATCAATATAAATTATATTTAATAAATGAGATTAAAATTTCATTTAAATAGATTTTGTCTAGTAATAAATCGTCTAAAATACAAAGAATTGAACTCGACAAGAAATAGAAATTGTACAAGAGTTTTAATCTACAGGAGTTTTTAGAAAAATATAATTCATATGTTTATTAAATATTTATGGAATTTCTTATCTTTCTTTTAACGAATTTTTGAAAGTATGCCGCATTTCTTATAAAAAAATATATCAATATATTTACTTTCTATTCTTATCAGAAAAAAAACAGTACATAAAAACTGATAAGTATAAATATTCATATAAAAGTTATTTGTTATATAAAACGAACGAGAGAAGAAGACTTGTGTCATTGTAAATATTATTGTTTTTAATATTTTTTTAAAAATATAATATAAAGCTGGATAAATATATGTAGAAATTATTTATTTTGAATTGATAATTAGCTGATGAATCTACTATTTAAAGTTACCATTAATAATAGAAAATATTTATCAAATAAAGAAAAATGATCCATAATCAGCAAGAATAGAAATTGAAAGAAATATCAAAGTTGAAATTAAAACAAAATCAATTATGTTTAGTGAACAATTACCATCAACGTTTCATCTTATTCATCAATTAAATATTAAAAATAAAGATCAAGAATTTTTTAATAAAACATGGAATTTCAAATTTCCTCGACTTTAGAATTAAATTTTTCATCACTATTTATTCTTTATTTTATATTTTTTTCATATTAAGTATTATATTGCAGAGTCAAATCTTATATAATAAACTTAGATTAAATAACTTAATCAACTAGTATATATGAAATTCGAAAATTCTACATAGCAAATGTAACACTAATATTACTGTGTTGGAATGTCAGATGATGAGTGTAAGTGGATCTGTGTACAAATTAAGACATAGAATCTTCTTATAGTGGCATCTATTTCAATCACTGATCGAACTATTCAAAATACAATTATTGTCTATTGACTTTCGGCGATAAATTCACTAAGCGAAGTTCATTTTCGGTGAAAATCGAATCTATCGAAAAACACATCTGTCATCTATTTTTATTCGGAGAAATTTCTGAAATCTAAATGTGTTATATAATTAAATCAGTATTTTTAATTAGAAAAATGAAATAAACGAAAAATCCAAGAAAATATATTGCATATCATATATCATATATTGATAGAGAATACAAATCATTTATTGTTTTTAAGTCCACTTTTGATCCATTTGAAATCGTCGATGATGTTTTGATATCGATTACAAATGAATGATTTATTGTCTAAGTACTTGAAAACAACGGAATCGGTATAAAACCTTGAAGAAATTATCTTTTCGATACAGTAAAAAACGGTTACTTTCTATTGAGACCAATAATATGGCGAAGAAAACATCATTAGAGTTGTTCGTTTGGATCTTAACGATATTTATTTTCATTGTTAATAATGATCAAACATTAGCAGTGAATGTTTGTAAAAAAGATAATTACCATACAAATACAATGAAATTATTAAAAGAACAAACAATTATCGATTCTTTCGTTGATTTATCAATGTAAGTTATTCAAAATTATTAAAAATAAATTAATCCATTATTTTGAATTATTTAGGTATAATGAATTGGAAATGTTTCCTAATCGTTTTGAATCATCTGATGTTATTCTTAGTCGTGATGGTCATGTAATGTATGTTGTATTTGATAATATGTATAATATAGGTGTTATATGTACTTCATTGGGACGTTCATTTAACTGTACTGATGAATTACTTGAATGGCCTCAATCATCATTAAAAAATAAAAAATCAAGTTTTGAAGGAATAGCTTATAATCCACGAAGTGAAACATATTTTGTTGTACAAGAAGCAATACCAACAGATAATAAGAAAATATTTCAGGCAAATGTTTTTGAAATTAGTATTAATCAAAAAGATTCAATACCTGTGCGTATAGTTGAATCTTGTTTAATTAATCACGATTTTGATACACAAAATAAAGGTTTTGAAGGTCTTGAATTTGTTTTACATCAAAAATCAAAAAAAAGTTATTTACTTGCATTATGTGAAGCTAATCAATGTAATCATAAATCAACTACTGACAATAATGGACGTGTTGTAGTTCTAGAAAAAACTAAATCTACTTCCAAAAGTAACTGATCTTTTTCTCTCTAAAAAATATTTTAAATTATTTTTGAATTATTAAGGTACTTGTGTATGGCAACCCGTTGGTACATTTGATTTACCATCGTCTGTTCATTTCGATGATTATTCAGCTATATCAATTTATCATCAACCATCATATAAATTACCTACATATGTAGCTGTAACAAGTCAAGAAAGCAGTCAAGTATGGATTGGTACAATTGAAGAAATAAATAAAGCTCCTTTCTTTCAATTCTCATCATTGGAAAAGAATACGGTATACAATTTACCACGAACCACTGAAATGGCATCAGAATGTCAAATAAAATATTGTAATATTGAAGGTGTTACATGGAGAGGCAAAAATCAACTTATTCTTGTTTCAGACAAGGCTAAAACTGATCAAGATATTCATTGTATCGAAAAAGATCAAAGTCTTCATTATCTTGGATTACCAGACCATCTTACGGATTAGATCACTCACTTTACTCTATTTAGTTAATATATTTTTTATAGAAATAAAAATAATATATATATTTATATTAACTAAACTCGAAACATTCATTGATCTTCTATTCACTATGAAAGTTATCTTGTTCGTTTTAAAGATAGATTTATGTATTGATATATGAATAATATCAGATCAATAGATTATTCACACTGTACTTCGAAAGTTAATATTTATATTTATAACAATATTAGCAATGGGATTAGAGTTATGAATCAAATATAATTGATACTAGTTGAAATAAAATATTACTAATTTATTATTTATATATTTAAACTTGCACCCTCAGTAGAAAAATCGTAAAACCAATAGAGTAATTGTTTGTTTAACTAAATTAATGATTCATCATATAGGATTTATTGATCGAGATTTAAATTTCTTTAAAATCTATTATCAATGATTTAATAATTACTGCAAGTTTCATAGGATGTGAATGATAGCATTTACATCTCCGTCAAATTTAATGAATAAGATGTTATAACAATCAAAAGAATTATAATATCGTCGATGAATATTTGTAAGAATATTATGACGATCAAAACACATTTACTAATGTTTATTTTTTTATAGGTGAACAAATCTTTTGAACTTAAATATTTTTACAAAACATTACAAAATGTAATTGAAAGTCTAGAAGATTGTGTAGCTTGAACATTTGTCGAAGTTAATGGAACATAGAATTTAATTTCATGAAGAAATGTAAGATAATCAGAAATTAATAATAATGTATGATATGTTTCATTCAGTTCAAATTTTAGTGATTGATACATTGATTCACGATTTATAAGACACATTTCATATAATTCAAGAAGACGATGACCATCCATATGTGTACATAGAAGAAGAATTGTTTTATCCAGTTTGATTTTCATAAAAAATAATTTCACATCATCACAACTCCATTCACTAATACATTTAGGTAAATCTCTATTAAAATAAAATAAATTATTAGAATAGATGGGTATGAGAAGCAAAGAAGACAGCATCGACGCCCACCCTCAAGATTTGTTTAATCAATTTAAAAGAAAAATATATACGAACGATTGAAAATTTGATTGATCTTGTTTCGTATTGCTGAAAATAATTTCATTTGACTCATTGATATTTGATAATATATTGAAATTTTGATGTTGATAATGATTTATTTCATTTTTTAATTTTTCATAAGCTAATGTAAATTCTTGATTAGTAAAATTAACATAAATTTTTCCACTAACAAGAATTCCAAGCCATCCATCAGGTTGATAATTTGATTCTAAAACAATTGGAATAAGACGACAACCACGTTCAAATGCATAATGTGCTTCCGATTGACAATAAACACTTTGTTTATACATATTTGACATACAAATAAGTACATTATGAGAATTTTCAATCGCATTTGCTATACCAATCATTGTTGATCCACGTAAACAATCTTTATCAATCCATACAGAATATCCATCTTTAATTAATTGTTCATGAATTTGAAAACATAAATCTTTATCTTTATGTGAATAACTTATCATTATATCATATTTATATTTATTATTAGAAACAATTGATTTATTAATACATTTTTCTTCTTTTTCTAATTTCCACAGAAGTCTTTCAGCTGCTCGTTGTAAACTTATTGTTGTTGAATTTGAATTATTACTTAAGATTTGAATATGATTCATAAAAATTTCATTTTGTTTTAAAACTTCTAAAGCATTATTATCAAATGCAAGAGCAAGAAGAATTTCTAAAGCTATTTGTTGAACATTTATTGGATCAAATCGAATTTCAATAACACATTTTATTAATAAAGGAAGTGCATTTTGTTTAATTAATTCAATTTTTACTTGATCATGTTGAACAAAATCTAAGAAAATATAATTCATATTTTAATATAACAAATAACGCTCGTCCGAGGACTCGCTTAGCTCTTTCTCGTAGAAATGTATCCTCTTCACATTTACTGGAAAAACAATTGAAAACCGTTAAAAATCAGTTTTCGATGTTTTTTTGACCCTGCGGACATACAAGCAATCAGACAATTTATGTTTACTGGACTCTTCTCTACGAGAAAGAGAATAAAATTTAACATAGTCAGCACGCTTTTGGGTGTGGATCGAGCGATTATAGGTATCAACACCCACACCCTCAACTCTAACTTACACCTCTCGAATTTTTCGCTATTTTCATCTTTCGGCCAAATTTTAGAGAATCGTGTTAACTTACTTATTAAACTTTTTAATAAACTAGTAAATCGTTCTGTTTTATTGAAATCATTCATCGTATTATTAATATAATCAATATACATAGAAGCAATTTTTTGTGGATTTGCCATTGTTTTAATATCTGTTTCTATCATAATTTTTCCTAAACATCTATAAACATTTAATTGTATTTCATCATTTTGAATATCAGTCATTTGTAAAAGCATTGGAATTAAATTTGAAATTGTTTTCATAAAATTTAATACATTGGAATGTAAAGTAAAATTATATAAATTTTGAACAATAATTCTTATATTTAATTTAATATTATATTTATTAAAAGAATTTGATAATATTGATGATAATATTAATGACCAATGTAAGACTAATTTACAATAATCATGATAAAAATCTTGACATAATATATTGATATAATCAGATTTAAGAGGACGAACAAAAAGATAAGTAAGATGACGAATCATTTTTGCAAGTTGAGATGAACATTGATAATACGTATCGGGATGACAATTTGTCATCCATATAGTAAATTCATTTAATAATATTCTTAAAATTTTAATAATATTTTCTGGATGATAATAATCTGAATACCATTGTAAATAATATGGCATTGAACAAAGAAATAAGATTTGATTATCATTTAATTTTTGAATAAAACTTTGTTTTAAACTTTTAATTAAATCAATTGAATATGAACAACATAAACATTGAATAACACCATAAAATATTGGAGAAATTGATAAATAATCAGCTTTTGTTATATCATATGCATGAAAATGTTTAAATAAAATTAATAAATAATTTATTGATCGAATTATTAAATTATTATCAAGATATTTTCCATATGTACTCATTTCATTAAGACAATTTCCAATTTCATTAATTAAGATTTTATGAAAAAATAAATATTTAAATTCATTTAAATTATTATTATTTATATTACAAGATAAATTCATAAAGAAAATTAAAACATCTAATAAAACTTTTGGGTAAATTTTATCTTCAATATGTCGTTCACGTAAATTTTCAATTAGAATTTTATCACGTAAAATAAAATAAAATTCATGATTTAATAATTTTAAATCAGCAAGTTTTTTATTTCGATAAGGTACAACTGATAATGAACAAACCATTTGTTCAATTAAATTATTTTTCATATCAATATCATCGATTTGTTTTAATTCAGAAACAAATAAATCAAATGATGTTTTTAATAATTCAATACTAATTTTTGCTCCACTATCTCGAATTATAGTACATTGGTCATCGATTATACTATTATTCATTGTTTTATTAGATTCTAAAAATATAAATCAAACTATAGATGGATCCGAAAAAGAATTTTATTTTCTAACATTCAATTTCACATGAAGAAACAAATCATTATTTATATTTTAATGATTCTAGAACAATATTTAAATGTACACAAAAATAATTGAGTTAACAATAAATAAATGTCATTGATGTGATGGAAAATAGTTACTTGAGAATTATCTGTTTTATTCTATAATACCCCATTAAATTTAAATATTTATTCGTCCTCCTTCTTTTATGATCTTGATTTGTATATTGCAGAAGATGGCATACGTTCTCGTATGTATAACATGAGACATTTTTTACTTTTTCATTTGATAGATATTATCAAATTAAATATCATTTTTCTGAAACTTATTCTTGCAAACTGTTGATTTATAGACAATTCAATTTACTCTTTAATTTGAGTAGATCGAAAAAAAACATTTATCAAAATTTTTAGTATTTTAAAAAAACTGCTTTTCTATGAGATCAGTATAATCGATAACCTAGAAGATATAAGTTGTATGTTTAACCCTTTCGTTACAAAAGTATAAAAAAAACTACACCTGTTTTTAATGATTTTTTTCTATAGTAAAAGTCATAGAAATCGGTGTACGATCTCTTAAAAGCAATTTAAGCAGGGTATTCTAGGAAAGGATATGGGTGTGGATTTCTCTTCTTCTTCGGCCCTCAAAACTGTTTCTTGTTATTTCATGAAAACATTCGATAAGCTTTACAGCTAATAAACGTGAGCAGTTAAAATTTTCGTTCAAGTATAACAAGGTTCAGTATTGCTTAAATTTCATATATCACATGCAAAAATAGATGAATTCCTTTTACATATATTCCTATCAGCCGTAAACTGTAATTTTTGAAAAGGCAAGATCGATCTCTTCATCACTCGCCTATACATCCGTTACTGATCTCCATCTCTAAAAACAGCCAGTTCAAGGATTTCTTGAGTTTCAATGCAGAAAAAAAAATTCTGTAACGAAAGGATTAAAGTGTAATGTAATATTTTATTTAATATTTAAGAAAATTTTCTAATAACAGTTGAAACATAACAATTTGGATAGAGAGGAAAGAAATGATTATCATCTTCCATATTACTTAATGGACCATTGATTGATGATGATGTTTGAATTAAAGCTAAAAAGAAAAATGATACTAAATATAATAATAAATATGTTTGATAATGAAATTCAAATATAACAATATAAGAATCATAGAGAAGCCAAAGTCCACGCCAAAGAAAAACACATGATAAAAAAGCAAATACATGACGAACATTTCGATAAAGTTGAGGAAAATTAATTGAAACAAATACCCAAAATTCATATTTTACATTTAAATATTCGAAATAATTTTGAAAATACATTAAGGGAAAATAAAGAATAAAACCAATTAATAAACAAATTAAAGCTGATTTATTTAGATCATCAGGATACATATGTTGATCAAGAAAATTATAAAAACTACGCCATGTAACAATTGATAAATTAGAAATAATTATTTCATATAAAACATAATTAATTACATTAATTTTCCATTGTTTCATCTTAAAAATAAAAAAATTATTAGTTTTTTTTTTAAATAAATTAATAAAAAGATTTTACTTGTCGTGTTAAAAGAGGACAACCAAAATGTAGACAATATTCAATTGAATCATAACTAACAAGAAATGGTGCACAAACAAGATCAGATAAATGACCAATAAATACAATTAATGCAAATATTGCTGCTATTGAAAGAACTAATTGAAAATACCATTGACGAGGAGTATATTGATCCCATAATAACCAGACAATTTCCCATTGAATTATATAAATTGTTGCTAATAGAAATATATGAGATTTTAAAAGAATAATTCTAATAATAGAATTTTGTTCTTTAAGAAAATTATAAAAAATCTCTTGACCAATATAAAGAATTAAAAGAAGAATTTGAACAATTGAATATGGAATAAATAATGATAAAAATGAATAATTATAAAATTCTTGATTTATTGTTAATGGGTATCCATTTATTGTATTTAATAAAGTCCAAACAAGATTCCATCCACAATCCCAAAAAAGAACAATAATTGGAAGAAGAATTAAACCAACAAGAATTGGTTCGACAAGAAATAATATTCGACGACGACGTTTATCATTATCTGTTTCAATTAAAGTTTGATTGTCTTCATTTTGATTTTCTTCATCATCTACTGGATAATAATTTTCGGAAATAATTGATAATCGACGTCGAGTGACGCTGTCATTAGAAATAGAATCACCAATTCGACTCGAAACAAATTGTCGTCGAACATCAACACCTGCAGGTGGAACTCGTTCTTGACTACGATATTCATCGCTGAATGGTAAATCAATTTGAGAATTACTTGATAATGGTTGACGAACATTGGTTGGTGTACCTAAATAACGAGCTGATCTATTTACTTCATCACTTGGAGAAACAGGTGATAATGGCAGACGAACATTAGTTGATGCACTTAGATGACGAGTTAAATCATGTAATTCATCATGAGGAGACTCAGGTGCAGCCATCGTTTGTCGACGATTGTATAAAGTTTGTTTTTTTGAATTATATTCAACCATTTCTTTTTTTTTACACTATTTGAAAATAATTGTATATATGTTCAACAATAATAAATTTTTCTATTTTTTGTTATTCGAACATAAGTAGATTTTTATCGTCATTGTCTCATCTTACTTGCACACAAGCATGGCTCGTTATGATATCGTCTTTTCTTTTGTCTATTTCTTATCTTTCGTATCATTTTAGTTACTTCGTTTAATGTTATTTACAGTAGTAAGAAGAAAAATCTCTTGAAATTTCATTATTTGATATGAAATGTACTGAGAATTATTCGTTGATTTATGAATTTTATCGAAAAATACGATCAGCCAGTCAATCTCTCGTCAATTGTATCGAATAAACTCTTAGTAATGTGTATGTGTATCAAAGACATAAAAACAAAGTATAAGCAATTAACAATGGAGGGACGTGTATTTTAAGTGAAATTGATTGACTATTTTCAGGTCAGTGATCGATCACTTTCATTGAGAAACTAGCCAACTTAAAATATAAGATGTTATTAGCGAACCGGGATCGAAATATCGGATTTTGAGGGTGTGAGCGTGCGACGGCTATTGTACTCATACTCACACTCTCAAGATATAATTGCTATAGCCAAATGAAAGAGTATCTCCATAAACCTCGAAGTAGTTCCGAGTGTGGCTCCAGAGAAGAGATGCTTATACCTACAGCCGCCAGATAGTTCAAAAGAATTTTCTTTCACTGTGTCACCGGTTCGATCGGTATAGCGATTAATGATCGTCATCGTTGCATTTCTATTGCTGGAAGTTAAAAAAGTAAGGTAATATCCTCCATCCTGAAAGATTGACGTCATTGCATATAAAAACAACTCATAATGAGTTTTTTTGTAATTATTCATCGACGTCAGTAAAAATAATCCAATGGCTCGAGGAAGTATAATATAATGAAATATGTATTTATATATAAGCGTATTAGCTGTAGATGATGAGGATATTCGAGTTCACATTTTTTTAAAGTTCTCTTGCCATGTATATAATAATATCTATTAGTTTCTAAAGACATAGATTGCAAAAGAAAAATTTAATTATCTTCAAGAAATCGCTCGGAGCTAAAGAGTTTAAACGATAAAATCCGCTATTATGCAAGCTTTATATACCTACATCTTTCTATAATATAGCTTCAGTCGTAATTTATTTAAATTCTATGAAAACACATATATCCATATAGATAAGAACATAAGAGAAATCGACAATGACTACTTCACTACTTCAAATTGGCGAGCAACTTACCCGAGCAATCATACCCGTGATCATTGTTATCGGTGTTGTTGGCAATTCTCTCAATATTGCTGTACTTGCTCGGCGTGCTCTGTATCATCATGCATGTTCGCGTTATTTCCTCGCTGTTGCGATCAATAATCTACTTTTTTCCGGTATCTTCCTTACCTATCGTTTATCAGTCAATGGATATCAGGATGATCTGGCTAATTATACTGGGATTTCATGCAAAATTATTACTTATATTGCTACTGTAAGTTCATTTATTTCACCTTATTTGATTGTATTTGCATCAGTGGATCGGTATTGCGCCAGTTCAGCAAATGCTCAGATACGTCGACTGAGTTCTGTTCGAATAAGTAAATGGATCATCTGTACTGTTATCAGTGTTTTTGCATTGTTTTTCATCCATATTCTGGTGCTGTTCGATTTACAGCCAGCATTTGGATTTATATGTGCACTACAAACAAATACCATCTACAATCAAATATACATAACTGCACAAGTTTTTCTGTATGCTCTGTTTGCGCCTGGTTTCATGATGATTTTTGGTCTGATGACTATTCGAAATACAACTCGAACACGTGTAGTTCCATTAGCAACGTCACGTTTTAATCGTACTGAACATCAACTGGCTCGGATGCTTTTTCTTCAAGTGAGCGTATATATTTTGCTCACTCTACCATCGAGTGTCATTTATCTGATATCGATTTTATCAAACACAATTAGTAGTGGAATTGCTTTCTCCTTTTCAGCTACAGTTTGTCAATTACTTTTTGATTTTTCCTATGGTTCGTCCTTCTTTTTATATCTTTTATCAAGTCATACCTATAGAAAAGAACTAATGCTCTTGGTACGCAAAACATTGAGAATCCGGTGTAGTAATCAAGTTGGACGTTTAGACACAGATAATGTCAATCTACGAGTCGCAGTGTCAGCTTATCCGCAATCAACAGCTTAATCTTATTGAATAAACTACTTAATATAGAAGTCATGACATTTTATCTTACATGTAACAGTATTTTTTTTGAAATATTTTAAACAAATAAAAAGACATCATTATTGTAGTCAATTGGATTTGTTTAGCAAATGATTGTTGTGATATTGTAATGAAGTTTCTCGATGATATACTCTGAATACGACTACTGTTGACGACAAGAAACTGTCTGATGTCCTGTTGATCTTTATAAAATAATATCACAAGTAGTAAGAGTCTTATTCACCAAAGAATATTTTCTCTTATCTAAGTCGGTTTTTGATGCACAATAATCACTTCTTTTATTTTGTTCAATTATGGGAATGTTAAAACTTGAAATTTGTGCGAATACGATTCTTCTCATAGAATCGATAACTCACATCCGCACTCACATCGTCTAGTTAGTACATGAATCTAGTTTAAATAATTTTGCATATATTGATGATCATCAATCCAGTTTTACTTTCGTTTAAGGTGGGATCATATTGAAAAGAAAGTAAAAAAAGTGCATTATGAAAGAGATTCACTTATTGCCACTATTGCTGGTAAACGAATTGTATTTATTTATATTTTAAGCAACCTCTAAACTGATAGTTTAAGACACAATCAGTAAGTTTTTATAAATAACTAGAAAATATTAAATTTTTTTTTATTGCAACCAATTTGAGATAGATAAATATTATTTTATTTTGATCAAATATAATATGTCCGCTCCTATAATGTTTCACTTTTTCTCTTTACTATCATGTAAGGTAAGTTATTTATTTTTCAAGGAAGATATTCGGAAAAAAATGCCCTGACACAACATCTAAATCAAGCTTAGGACTAAAAAAAATCCCAATATATGTTAGACATCTTGTTTTTTCGCTATTGATTGCGCGATAAAGCTGCGCGTTCGTTTTGTTATTAACCAAATATTTATTCCTTCTCATATCTATCGTTGATTAAAGCTTTTATTGTTTGTTTAATACGAAAATGTCAACGACAATACGTGTTTATATATATTTGCTTGATAATACTTTCGTTAATCCAACAACAAGCTATCAAAAGAAGATACAGAGAACAAAAAATTCTTCCGTACATGTATGAACTCATTTTTCTATCTCTCACTCGATTGTTCTATGAAACAAAATGAAATACGATTATTTATCAAGTTTTTTTTCATTTTTTTACATGTTCATATTAATATCAAAAATGAATGCATGTAGGGTTGATATTTATCACTACGTTCAAGAATGTGGTGAACAACCGGAAAAAAAACATCGAGAATCAGATCCAGTTAGGTATTGTGGCGCTTCACATTTTTATCTTGAATGTGTTCATGACAAATATCGTGGTTGTGAAAATAAAGAAAAATATGAAATGGTAGCGGAATCGATGTTGAAAGGTAAGAATTTTATCAACATATCTATATTAAAATCTCTTAGATTGGTCATTCACTCTATTCTATTTTTCTATCATTGATTTTAGATTTTCCAAAACGTGTTGACGATCTAGTAGCTTTTTGTAGTGATAAAATCGAAAATTATAAAATTAATATTGTTTGTGAATCATCAAAACAAGCTGAAACAGCTGATTCTATTCGTAATGGTAGTTCTCATTCGCCTAGTGGATCATTAAAATATGGTACTATTAGTTCATCATCTGCACAATTACTTGTTACAAATGATCTATGTCAAGTAAAAACAATCAGGAATTTATGTGGGCTATCAATGATGAATGATAAATTGAATCTATCATGGAATAAGGCACGTAAACATGATTCGTGTCAACAAGCAATAACTTATCTTCGTTGCTTAACACTTCGTGAAAATAAATGTCCTCAACAAAATATACAAAATGAATTTATAAAACTTATAAAAAATATTGAATTAGATATAATTTATAACTGTCCAATTTTTGGTGGATGTCCATCAGGATTTCCAGATATTGACTCATTCGCCACGATAGGACTCACTAGTGGGTTCATTTTGAAGGTGTGGATGTGGTTGTGGGTGTGGATGAGATGATGACAATACTTCCGCTCACATTCACACCCATACCATATGCTATTAAACAAATTAAATTAATTTCAATTTTTTATGTATTTAAATATAAAAAAATATATATGGTTAAAGGCCTAAATTAAGAAGAAAAATGTTCTCAAATAAACTCTGTACTCTTACTTGTCACTCTTTAAATTTTATATTTCAACAATAAATGCTTAGAATGTTTCTAAACATACTAAAAATATTAATTATGTTAAACTTTAATAAGAAAAACTCAAATAATGATGAACGACTCTTTTCATTGTTGAAGAAAATTGGGAGTATTGCCGTTGTAATTGTAGATTAGAAAATGTAACATTCGCATCTATCTGATCATCACTCTTAAACCTTCATCTAGCATCTCTTAGTATGTTCAATACATGATAATAATACTAATGATGATTCGTATTTGATCGATGTCTCTTCTTTCTTTTATTAATGATTAGACTATAAATAACAAATCGATATAAATTACAAAAATAGATAATCCAAGAAAAGATTAAAAATGAATTATTGTGTAGGATTTTTTGCTGTTTGACTACCAGATAATGTCTTATCTTGTAAAACTATCGATTCTAAATCCACTGGTGGTTTATTCGGATCATTCATTTTAACTCTTGCAATTGCTTGCATTATCCAATCAAGTGATTTATTAACCTAAATATACAGAAAAAATATATTTGTGAATAGAAATCAAAATAAATTATATTTATACATCATGTGCATGTTTTTCCATTCGTACATTATTCTATATAATAAAAATTGAAAATAATTTCTTAGGTTTTAAAACAAAAATTAGTTTACTTTAGCCACAACTGATTTTAATGTCATTATTTCTTCTTTTAAATTTCCTATTATCTGTTGTTCATTATTATCCAATTGTGTTTCATTATTACTATAAAATAAAAATATTAATTGAAAATAAAAAAGATAAAAATATTCTTTTACTCAATAGTAAGAAGTTTTTTTGTGGGAATATTTTCATCAATTGATAAATCATTTTTCTTTTTATTCTTTTCAAAAATTGTCCGAGCATAACTTTGTGTTGCTGCATTTTCAAATATATCCCATTGTTCATTAACTTGAGACATATCTACTGGAATCATTTCTAAATTTATTAGAATTTAAAAAATTCAATAATTTTTTGTTTTGTTTCAATCTTACTAAAAATACGTGTTACTGTTTTGGATTTTGATTTATCATTTTCATGTGTTACTTGACTTTCACATAGCTTTGGGCACAATTTACGTTTTAAAGCAATAAAAAGAAAAATAATATGTGTAAAAATAATTAATGGTGGATATGCAAGTGGTGGACGTTCAAAATATTCACGAACAAATGTATAACGTTGATAACGCCAATAAAATTCTGTATTTTCTTGAATATCATCAATTGTACGACTAAAGTTTATAGCAAAAAAAAAGAAGGTTTTTTCGTTATTATAATAAATCAATTAATAAAATCTCACGTAAAAACAGCAATTAATAAATTAAGTATAAGAATATTAATAAATAACATATGAAAAGCTAATAAAACATGAGTAGCTGTTGCTTCAGCGACATATGATTGAGTTCCATTATTAATTATTTCTAAAGAATTTTTTATTTAAAAATAAATAAATTTGAAATAAAAGAAAAACTTTTACCATCAAGTAAAGCTTTATCACTAACATCACCATATATAAACCAATATGGTTCATATAAAATACCTTTAAATATATCATTAATAGTAAATGGAATTTGGTTATAAAAAATTAATGATCGAGATACAACACCATATGCAGCTATTGCTATAAAGATTATATAGACAAAAGCAAATAGATCTCGAAGCTAAATTTTTAATTAATTTTAAATAAAAAATATAATCAATTGGAAAATAAACAAACCATATTTTTAAGCATAAACAATTTTGGACCTATAAATTTTAAAACCACAATAAATCGAAGTGATCGAAGATACCATAATTCAAGATCAAATGCCCAAATAATTCTATACAAGAATAAAATTCATTAAAAACACTCATTTTAGTTTGTGTTTCATAAAAAAAAACTTATAAACCTTGCTGTCGATATAATATTTTCATTATAAGCTCGATAACGAAATCCAAGACCCAAATAAAAAAGAAAATAAGGTATTATGTAAAATGCATTGGTTAACACTGTTAGAAGAAATGATCCAGTTGAACCCCATCGTTCAGTCATTCGTGTTTTATATTCATGATATATCTTCAACAAAAAGAAAATAACATAATTATGAGTGATTTTTTTTTTATTAAATAATATTCTACTTTTCGAACTTCTTCACAAAACATTGTTGAAATTGTAATAATAACATAAATTTCAGTCCAATGAGGTTTAATATCTGGATCTCCCGAATCAAGATGATAGAGCATCATATAACTAAATACAAGTAAAAAGAAAATGTAACTTATCTAAATAAAAAAAAGAGAAAAAGAAAATATTTTTGATTATTTAAATAAAAATTCTTTCTTACAAAATGATAACACATTTTTACCATTGGACTCTGATGAAAATATTTAAATAATAACCAATATTTTATACATGGATGTGTTGTCGAGATTTTTTTATTCATATAATAATTTATACCATCTGATGATAATCTATTAATACAATAATTTATTTATAAAAACTTATTTATAATTTAATTTACTTACGATCTATCGGCGACTTCCTACAAAAAAGATCAGAAAAATAATTTGAAATCATAAAAATACTTCTAATATACATACAATTTCTACATCTCGATAGGTTATTGCTAGCGGAGCTGAGAGACCTAAAGTTAATATTGTAGGTATTTGTAGGAGTTTTGCAAAAATTTGATGATTTTCAATTGATAATTTATTATACCATACTTGAGCTAATGTTTGATCAAAACAAGCTGTTTCAAGTAATTTTCCACTTTCACTTGATATAGCTACCTAAAATCATCATGAAATACTATTCTATTTATATAAGAAGTTTTCAATTATTATTATTTCCAAGATTTTTCTTAGTATTTTTTAAAAAAATAGAATAATTTACCTGCATAGGTGTAATATTACCAAAAAGTGGTATTTGTCGTAAAAGTAATTCACAAGCTATTCTTTCATTAAATTCATAACATTTATCAATAAACATTCCAGCATATGTTTCAAATTCAAGTGCTTGATTTTGAAATTTATTTTTAAGATAAATTGTTGTTGATGATTTAGCATATCTTTTAAATATAGCTGAAGCGACAAGTGCTGCACATATACGAGATGGTATATGAATAAGAATTATTTTAGCCATTTCAGGCATATCCAAAAAAATTGACATTAAGAAAAGATCACGTAATAAATGATCTTTTGTATATGGAAGTTTATAATCGTTATTGGAAGTAGATTGATTATCATCGGCTTGTTCAAACTCAGAACAAGTAGAAATAGAAGTTTTTAAATCAATAAGAACACGTTTTTTAGTACTATCATGTTCACATGAATAAATTGGTCCAATAAATGAACCAACAAATCTTCTCAATTTCAAATCAAGTTCTTCTATTGTTTTAGATGAAATTGTACCAAATAATGTTGTTATATATTTCGAATGATTCTTAATTAATAAAAAAAGCAAAGAATTTTTTTCTTAAAGAAAAAATAAATAAATATACTTTATTCATTTGAGTATGACATTGTTTATATAGATTTGAAATAGTTTCATGACGTTTTGATGTATCTCCAGTTTCAATAAGAATAAGTGGATCAGAATTAGCAGCTAATAAATATTCAACAAATTTAGGACGATTTTTTTCGAGTGATCTTTTAAATAAATCTTTTTCGTATTCGATGTATTTCTATAAAAAAAAAGAATATTTCATCAATTTTCTCCTTTCATTTCTAAGAATTTTACTTGAATTGTTGTATCAATTAGTCGAAGTTCATCTTCAGCTTGTTGAAGTTCATTTTCAGTTCGAAGAAGTTCAGCTCCAGTTAGTCGAAGTTTATCTTTAGTTAGTTTCCGTTTAGTTTGATTCAATCGATGTATAGTGTCAGTTACTCGAAGTTTAGTATCTTGCCGTGTATGTAAAATCGGTAAAACACCTTCAAAATAATTCCATTCAAGAGCTAAATTTATTAATTTATCTTCATCATTTTGACCTTGTTGTTCTTGATTATTTTTCTTATTAGTATTATCATTGATAACGTTTTTCTTAATTTTTACTAAATAATAAAATCAAATAAATGTAAATACTTAGGGCAAGGGTGTGAGTGGGAATGTTGTCTTCTTTGTTCCTCACATTCACATCCACACCCTTCTTATTCTACATACCAAAAATAGCATTGAATATTGTCTGAGCCATATTATTATCATCACTTAAAGAAAAAACATTTAATAAATATCGATTGTCTTTTTTTAAAATATTTTTTATTCGTGTTATTGTTGAATTCATTTCAGTATGACCAGGAGTAGGAATAAAATATTGTACAACTTTTTTAATTTCTTCATCAGTTGGATAACTAGAATAAATATTGATTAGAACAATCCAATTAATATATTAACTCAATTTACTTTTGATCAGTTTTTTCAGTAGTTGAACTTTGTTCAATTAATGTAGCAAGTGTATCAGCTAAACGACCACTACCCTATTAATGAATAAATAATAAAATAATAATTACAAGAATAATAATTAACAAACTTTAATGAGTACAATAGGTCGATGTTCTTTAATATCATTTTCAATAACTTCAAGAGTATTGAAACCTCCTTCTACAATAATTGTGACACCATAACCTATAAATATTTTTCAAATAAAAAATAAAAATATTTTGAATAGATCCATACATGTATGCTTTTCTTGTTGACATGCATATACAACTAATCCATGACGTTGTACATCACCAAGATATCCAGATAATTGACCATCATCAAATAAAATACAATGTGTATGATTTTTTTCCATTGTTTCTTTATCTTCTTGAATATTATCAGATATTTGTCGATGAAGAAAATCTCTTGGATAAGTCTATTAAATAAAAAAAATAAAATATCTAATGAATAAAATATTTTTAATTCTTATTTACATCTGTTGTATGTTTAAGTTCAAAACGTGTACTTTCATTAACTGTACCCCACATTGTCATTCCAATACATTTAACTTTATTTGGATATTCTCTTAAAAGACGATAATGTGAAATACCTTCCCCAACTAATTTTGATACACCATTATTAATTCCAGCAGTTAAAATCCAAGTATCTAAATATATTTATTAATATGAAATAATAATAATAATTATCTAATTATTTTATTTACCAGTTCCACTAGCAGCATCAACAATTCCTCGTATTATTTCTTTTTCAAGTTTTTCTGGTACAAGAAAATATTTTGCACCACCGTAAACACTTAGTATTAAACTTGGCTTATGTCCATCACCACCACAATCATCAACAAGTAAATCATAAATATCTTTTAATTTCGATCGAAGATCTATTCGAACAAATTTACAATCAGTAGATTTTATTCTTCCAAATACATTTACAGGAACTTTAATTGAATGAGCAAGTATACCAAAATCATTTGGTGGATTCCATTCAGTATTTTTATTTTTAGATTCTAGACTAATACCATCGAAACTATGACGACGAATTAAACGACCACAACAACATGATTTATCCTTATCATTGGGAGGTGGCGATGCCTGACGATTATAAATTTGACAAGTACATGATTTTAAACTACAACTTTTAATAAGATCGTCCCATGATGGAGATGTTTTCTCTGTAGACATCAAACAATCTTAATAACTAAAACAAGACAAATAATAAATAGTCTATGTAAGAATTCAAGGGTATTTTTTTTCTCTTAAGCGCTATGACAACTCTATATATAAACATTTTTTGAGTCATGAACAAAAAATTTAAAAATATGAGAATTTAATAATACTCACTAATTTTCATCAATATATGTGAATATTATTTAATTTCAAACAACTATTGAAATACAGTACATCAAATGAAAGAATGAGAACATGAGTATTCACTTACATTATTAAAATAGTTTATTTATTTTATAGAAAAGAAAAAAATATATATTTAAAAAAGTAGTGACAACTATAGGTAATTTTCAAGAACACAAAAATGTCGACGTTGCTACCCTTTCTTTGCTGCAGAGGCAGAATATTATAATAATTCATTCTCATATGTTTTCTGAACAAAATCTAAAATTCAACTTTTGAAATCAAACTATACTGGAGAATATGTAACTTTGTAAACCAGATCGATTGTGTAATTCATTGAATTTTGTTAGAATTCAATTCTGAATGACTCATATCTACCTGTAAATTACTTTCATTATAATATAAAAGTCAAGTTTGATCACTAAAGTGTCTTTCTCGACATATCTTAATAAATAAAAAACTGTATAAAACAACAAATTTTACATTCGTTTGATTATGATTAATCTATTATTTGAATAATCTTCATAAAACTAGTCTTTACAATTAATAACAAAATCTTTTATTCTTTCTAATGTAATAAACATGTTTATTTTTACAAATGAAAGCTTTTTAAAAAAAAGAATTAATTTATCTTTTTATTTTCTAGTTATAAAATAAGAAATAAAAAAAAATTATTCTAGATTAGGTATAAGTAATTCATAACTAACAAATTGTCTTCCAGTTTTTTGTTTTTTATTACTTTCTAACCATAATCGTATTTTAAGATCACTAGTTCCAATTTGTCTTTCATCATGTTCAATATGCTCATGACACTTATGATGTTGAGAATGTTGATGAATTGGAGGTTGTTGACTTCCCAAACCTTCATCTGTAGAAGTTGGACCTAAAGCACTTGGAATAACATCAGAATGTCGTTTGTGAGTATTAGTAACAGTTGATGATGTTATGTTAGAACAATGTTCAAAATAACACCAATTTCTATTTGAACGAAATTTTTTATGTATTAATTTTCCTCCATTTTCTGGTCTTCGTTCAAAAAAATCGATTACTTCTTCTTCTGTATTATCAATTGGATTCCATTTTGTTTTAAAATAATGAGCAACACGAATAGCCATTTTCGATGGAGGCATATTAACAATAGCAGATGAAATAATTTGATACATTAATTTCGGATCATTAATTGGTAATGGTCGATGAGAAGCTTCTGTTTGAAATCGACTAATTCCACAACAATGAACATCACCACTGAAATAACTAACTCGAACTTTTTTTTGTTCAGCAATTTGTTGTAGACGAGAAAGAACACGATTACGTTCTTCAATATGTGATGCATGTGTCCATTCATCGAGTAAATCATCGTACAATTCAGGTAAATAAAAAATCGAATTTCTACTTTTAATAAATGGTAGTTTTCGCAATTTATTTGGAAGATTTTTTAATTTTTCAAAAATTGTTTCAGCAAAAGGAACACGAATAAATGAAAATGGAACAGGAACTAAAAGAATTAAATGTTTAACATCATCAAGATTATTTTCAAGTTTATCAAAGATCATATCCCAAGTTTTTTCATGTTGAACAGTTTGTGTATCACGTTCAGTTCGTCCATCAGTACCAATTATTGCTAAATTTCTACCACATCGAGCAAAAAAATTATATCCTTTATATCCAAATAAATAATGTTCTCGAGCTTTTTCTAATGTTGTATGATGTTGAAATAAAAGTCGCATTTTTTGTGCTGCTAAAAATAATCCCATCATCATTGGACTATCATGAATTAATGGAGGATAAGATCCAGCACCATCATATATATCATGATCATCCCACATCATTAAACTTGGTATTGATGCTAATGCATGTTTAACTTCAGGACGACGATCCCAATTTTCTGCATATGTATAAAAATGATATTGTTCTACTTGTTCTTTAACATCATCACGAAAATCAGTTGTCCATCTTGCATTCCATGCCATATTACGCCATGCACGAAGAAATGGAATATCATCAAACATAAAATCAATATAATTTTGATCACCACCCCATAATAATAAATGTAATGGTGTTTCGTCATGAATAGATAAAAGATGATTCCATACATCTGAATAAGTTAAATTTGATGCGACTTCTTCAGGAACATAAGCATCAAATCCATTACATGAAAAAAAACCTCCACGCCATTTTTGATCACAACGAGCAATTATAAATGAACCATTAGTTATTTTATCACCCCAATCAATTTTCCATTGAATCATATCATCACCTTCACCTTCTTTTAATTCAATAAATAAATTAATACGATAAGCACGTAAATCAAATATATTATCATATAAAATTTCCCAATTATAATCAATTTTAACATCACCAATAAATACAATATCTGGTTGATTAAATGAAATATGTCGGAAGATTAATACACTTCCGATCCATAACATTTCCTCGAGATCAGTTGTAATAAATTGAAGAAATGGTCCTAAGGCATGTCCAGGAGGTTTTGGTGGACGATTGACTGCTGGTGATCCACTAGCAGCTTTTGTAGATGGTGGTAAATCAGGAATTTTACTTGTTGTTGCTTTTGGTTCTGGATAATCACCCATGAATTGAGGATTAAGATTAACGGGATTCGCTGAATTAGCATCGAAATCACCATATTTATCTACTATGACATATTCATCTTCGTTTACTTGTTTTTCGGTCATCTATAACAATTAAATCTATGAAATAAACAAAAAATATTATTTTCTAGTTGAAAATCGTATGTTATAAGAAATCTAATATGAATCAAAAAATAATTCGTTCACTTATTTACTTTTTTATTTTGTCAAATTAAATAAATTAAAGAGTGAAATTTGTACGTGTTAGATTTTATACAATCTTGAATAGATAAATTGTGTCGTACTCTAACGTTTATTTCATTCCACAACTGGAAGAAAGCAACAGAAGAAAAAAGACGCACGCGAACGAATAATTTTTCAACTCATTGTAAAAGACGGACGAACATAGTCACGTCGTAAAGAGTATATGTAATGTATCTGTTTATACGTTCTTTATTTCATAAGAGATAGGACAGAACGACAAAAAGAAAGGGCATTAGTCATAATAGATATATGAAATAGGTAAAAGAGTAAATCAGACAAACAAGATTTTACATTACTCTATATAGTACATAAAGTACTCAATCAATAAAATAGAAAGAACAACTCAATGACAATATATATGTTTAAAGTTCATTATTATTAAATATAGAAAATATAAAAAGCGAAAACGTTTTATTTGTAGGTCTATTGTTGTTATTTAAGTAGGTTGAAAGATGATATTTCAATGCTCCTTGGACTTGTTTTATTCATACATTCCGTGACATTAGAAGACGGTAATGTCTACACAAAATTGTTTGTTTCCTTTGTCTTATTTTTTGTACTCGTGTTATGATATTTACTTACGATTATCTCATTTGTATTGTTTAGAGTAACTAAATATGATATTTTAACTTGAAATAGATTCACATATCTTTATAATATATCCCTTGAAAAAAAATAGTTAAGCTTTCTATTTTCAATATTTGTGCTTTTTTATCACTTGATTGATATTATATTATTATAATTTTCGTCAATTTCTCATCGTTATAAAACTATCTTTTTCAAAGAATAATTACAATGAGTGAGTGAGTTAGAAATTCGACTTCGTTTTTAACAATCAATTTTTCTTCACTAAATTGACTTTAGCAGTAAATTTCAAATCCTTTTTCAGTTCTTTGAACTCATATAAAATAAAAATATAGGATTGTAACTTATTATGTTAGAACTTTTTTCTATAAAGTTCACATGTATTAAAACATAATTATTTAATTTTTATCGTATTTAATGATTAAAAAAAATAAATAATATAAACTAAAATTTATCGGAATGGTTATTAGTATTTGTTGGTTGTTGCATCTGTCTCCTAAATATTTTAATATTATATTTAGTTACAAATTTTCTTCAATCAATTTTAACTAACCGATTCATTGGATACAGTAGCATTTTTATATTTTCCACAGCAATTATTACAACAAAATCCACAACAACAACAGCAACAACAAAGACAACCACAACCAAAACCAAAGCAACAACCTGTAAGAACAAAGATGAATCCATATAGAACTTTTTTACATGTTGATAATTCTCGAAGTGTCTCAGGATAATCTATAAGAAATAGAAATATATATATTAATAATATCTCTTACATATACATATATATTTACCATCATACTGATCAATCATTCCAGCAGCTATATTTATAGTAAATAAATATATATATATATTAAATATAGAATTTCAAACCTTGTGAACCTAATAGATCATAAGTTGCTCTTGATCTTGGATTTCCAAGTACTTTATAAGCTTTTGCAACAACTTGAAATTGAGCAGTTGCTTGTGGATCAGAGTTTTTATCCGGATCTTAATTGTATTTCTATTTTATGTTAATAAATGAAAGAAAAGATTATTTTACGAAGTCGTAATGCTAATTTTCGATAGGCTTGTTTAATTTCTTCATCTGTTGCTCGTTGATTAACTCCAAGAATATCATAATAATCTTCATTTGTTTTCGAACTAATAACAAAAAAGAAAGAAATATTATTTAAATTATTTATATTACTTACGATTGTTTTCTATGAGAATTCGATGCCATTTTAGATGAATAAATCTCTAATACAAATAGAAAATTAACAAATTAAAAAAGTTTTTTTTCAAAATAATTTTTTCAATATAAAGAAATTTCATGGAATTTTTTTTTCTTTCATAACGTGATTTTAGCATTGTAATGATGCAAAATAAATATATTGTAGTTACATATAGTTAACGGCTTGTTTTCTTTATTCTGTACACAAGAAAAATGTGCGCAAATAAAGTAATGACACATATTTTTACTGATCTCATTTTAATAAACAGAATAGAAAAAAATTTTTTTTCAATTTCCATTTTACAGTTCTTTCATTTCTATAAAATACATAATAATAATTACATTTCTATATAACCTGTACGTCATATTTCCTTTTATGAATCTAATTAAAATTAAGAAAATTGTGTAAATTAATTTTATTTGGTGCTATTCTTAATTATATGTTAACTGTTTATTTTCGGCTTTTTAAAGAAAAATTTCCATGTCATAATTATGTATGTTCATAATAATTTAGTAATATAATAAAATTTATAATTAGCTTAAATGTATTTTGAATTTGTTTTTTATTGTTGAATGTGCTAATAGACTACTTTTATAATAAAATATAATGTCATAGACAAGTATTGCAACAAGCAATTAATTATCTCTATAAAAAAAAAGTAATAAATCATATTATTTATCGTTGCTTATTTCATCTATTTGGTTTTTGTATTCAATCTCATTTAAAGGTATTTCTGTATTCTTTCGTACAGTTAATACCTTGTTCAATCTGTATTTTACCATGAATATGAAATGGCAAGAACATTATTTTATTTCAATATTTTTTATTAATAGATTTTTAAACTATGAGATATAAAATAAAAAGTGAATTTTAATTTCCATTAATAGTAACTCGATAGACATGATTGAAAAAGATTTTATTGATAATATATAAAATTAGAGTAGATAGATAATTTAAACTTGTAAAAAGAAATTACGGAGGAATTTCATAGGCTTAATAAAAAACGTACTTAGATAAGAAAAAAGAAAAATGCCAAAGAAAGAAAAGAAAAATGAAGAAATAATGTGAAGGCATGTTGATTATATTATATCACTGTATCATATCATCATTTTTTTGCTTAGTACTTGTATGATTTTCTCATACCGCATTCATTAAATTATCCAATGTTTAAATTTTGATCTACTTTTTCTTTTTTCATTGTTATAATTCAACAAGAAATAATTAGATTAATTAACGATGACAAATAATCAAAGTAATTCAGATTTAATCAAGGATCATTTAGTCGATATTTCAACAACATTTACTTCTACTAATAACCGTAGAGATACGAAATATGTGAGTTCATTATTATTTATCTTTTTCATATAAATAAGATGGATCAAAAGTCACTTTATACTCTACAAAAAAATTGAATATTGTCTTCATTATGACTCGTAGTTTTTATTGTTGATAGAAAAATAGTTATAATCCATTTCAAAGTATAAGTGTTGACTTTAACGAAAAACAATATACAGCGTTGTGTAAAAGTTATTTTGCAGAGAAAGATTAATATTTTCATTGTAACTGTAGCACATTAGCTGATTTTTTTTATCAATACTACAGACATGTCGAGAGAGACCCCTTGTTAGATATATTGTTTTTTCCTTACCATGTGCCAAAACTCAAATTTTTTATTGAGATCAACACTTATACTTTGAAATGGATTATAACTACTCTTCTATAAGAAACAAAAGATTCACTGCATTCGTACGAGTCATAACGAAGATATTGAGTTTTTTGTAGAGTAAAGTGACTTTATATATTTGATCCTATATATTTTCAATATATTACAGCTTATTGCTACACTTGGTATTAAATCATATGGAACAATTATTTGTAAGTATAAATCCTATTTTATTTATATAAATATTAAAATCTATATAATTAGTTGGTCATAATCAATCTAATAAAGCTAATTTTATTCGAATACCATCAAATGCATCACCATCATATGTTAAACAATTAATTGTTCAAAGATGTGCAAATAAGGTAAATATTAAATTTTAAAAATAATTCTAATATAAATTTTGATGTTAGCGTCCATCACTTGTTATATCTGTAACTGGAAGTGCGCGAGAATATAATATGAAATCAAAATTATTTCGTGTATTTCGTCAAGGTCTTCTTAAAGTTGTCAAAACAACTGGTTAGATATTATTTTATAGATTTGATTTTATTCAATTCATTTTTAGATGTTTGGATAATTACGGGTGGTGTTAATACAAGTATAACAAAACTTATAGGAGAAATAATTCGAACAAATCCAGATCAATCTCGACCTGTTCATTTAATTGTAAGTTATTATTTATTTATTTATTTGTTTTAATATAAAATTCAAGGGTATTGCACCATGGGGTTGTGTATCGGGTGTTGAACAACTTGATGTTCATGGAACCAATGTTATTTATGCTAAATCAAGAACTGATGAAAATAATGAAATTCCACTTGAACCAAATCATACCCAATTTATATTTATTGATGATGGAACGAAATATCAATATGGAGGAGAAATTCAATTTCGTAATCAGTTTGAAAAATCAATAGCAGGAGAATCATTTGTTACATTGAATAATCAACACGATTCATCAGATAAAACTCATAGTGAAGATAAATCAACATCATCATATTCACAATTAGGTTAAAAATATTTTAATAAAAATCTTTTTATTTATTATTTTCTAATTTAGATAGTGTACCCGTAGTTCTTCTAGTATTAGATGGTGGTCTTGAAACAATACAAAAAGGTTATCTCTCTTTCTCTCTCTATATATATACTGAATAAGAATATTTATTTATTATTTTAGTTCATGAAAGTGTTATAAAAAATAAAATACCTGTTGTTCTTCTGGAAGGTACTGGTGGTTGTTGTGATTTATTTGCTAAATGTTATCATTTATACAATGAATATCGACCAAGATCAAAAACATTACTTGAAACAAAGTTTGTTATATTATATAATTTTATTTAAAAAAAATTATTTCTACTTTTAGTATAGATCCATCATTTTTATCTGAAAAAAATGAACAAATAAAAAATAAAATTCGTGAAAGATTCAAATCAGTTTATAGTGAAACTCTTTATGTGAATGAAAATATTGATTATTTTCAATTAATTTATGAATGTATTGATAGTCGTATGATATTTTTAAATTTTATTGATTTTAAACCACATAGTCATGTTGAACGAGATGTTGATTTAGCTATTTTACAAGCTCTTTTAAATGGTAGACGAAAGAAAAGAATTTATTTTTAATAAAATATTCTATTTTAGCTACGAATTCAAATGAAGAAAATGTTGAACAAAAATTAGAACAATTAAATTTAGCATTAGAATGGAATAGAGTTGATATTGTTAAAAGTTTTATTATGAAAACTGAACGAGATTGGACAGTAAGTTAAAAGAAAGAAATTTATGAAATATTTTGAAAATAAAATAAAATTTTATTTAGAAAATCAATTTAAATGGATTATTTTTTAAAGCACTTATGAGAAATCAAACAAGTTTTATTCAATTATTTCTTGATCATGATTTTTCATTAAATAATTTATTTCAAAATCCTATTCAACTTTTAAGACTTTATCAAAATCAAGTAATTTTTTCAAAAACAATCAGAAATAAATAAATCAAATTTTTATTTTATAGAATTATATATTTAAACATCATTTTGATGATCCATTACGAGCTATATATAAAGATATTATTCAACCACTTATTGGAGATTTTTTTGAAGTTGATGCCATCTTTTCTCCACATGCTATGAATTCACACAATACTGATAATCAACCATCACAATCTCCTCCAGTATTATTCAATGAAACAACTGATACACATACAAATCAGAATGTACAGCCAAATGGTTAGTTAAAATATTTAGTAAACTAAAATGAATACGATATCAGAGTATATAGAAATCCTAGAATGTCTCGACATGCATTGAGATCGAACTTGTCAGAACTAAAAAACAAGATTCAGTTATTCATTCACTTGGCTATGTTACAAGAATGTCAATATAAACTCCTATCGAGTTTCTAAAATAACTTATAACTGAAGTATTCTGAAATAACGAAGTGTTCGACCATATTTTTCATAGAGAAATATTTCAATTATGTGAGATACGGTGAAACATTCCATCGTACTACAGTTTTAATCTTCTAAAAAAACTTTGTATTAATATTCTTTGAGAGAATTGTATAGTACATTTTAAAAAAAACGAATTCGATATTGTAAGAGTTATTTATGTTACAATTATTTTAATTTATTTTCTTTAGCTACAATATATTTGCATTCTGATGCAATAGATGTTGAAAAGGAACTTTTTCTTTGGTCGGTATTAACAGGTAAACAAGAATTAGCATTATTGTTTTGGGCACGAGGAAAAAATAAAGTTTGTAAGTATCGAAAATTTATTAAATATTTCTTGAAAAATGTTTTTATACTAATTAAAGGTGCGGCTTTGATTGCAACATTACTCTATAAGAGTAAAGCAGAAAAAGAAAAAGATATACGATATAATGAATGGGGATATCAATTTGAAAATTTAGCAGTCCAAATTCTTGAAAAATTTTATCGTTTACATCCATCTCAATGTAATCAAGCAATAATAAGAGAAATTCCTCAATTTGGTAATGTGACATGGTTACATTTAGCTGTTATGGCTGAAGCAAAATTATTTATTGCACAACGAGCTGTACAAAATGTATTGAATAGTATTTGGTAGAGATTTTTCTATAGAATAAATATAAAAATTCTTATATTATTGAATAGGTATGGATATATTGATCGTCAAGTTGGACATGTAAAGATAATATTTTCTACATTTATGCTTTGGTATAGTGGATTTTTACCTTATCATGATGATATGATTGAGGTAAATAAGAAAATTTATTTTATACGAATAGAATATCAAGATTTTTCTAGGATTCTCAACTTACATTAAATTTAAAACGAAATTATGTATCAGAAATGCAATATACAACTAATATGTAGAATATATTGAATTTATTTTTAATAAATATATCATTTTATTTTAATTTTATTTCAGAAATGAAAATTTTGCTCAATGTAAATTAATAGAAGATGAATTAAATGAAGAACAAATATTAAATGATAATTATGATAACTCTTCATTAAAAAAGTATTCATTTTATTGACACAATTTGCTTCTTATTTTGACGAATATAATTCTAACGAAATGTATGAATATGACAATAAAATAATATTTATTTTTATTTATTATAGAATAAAATCTAGTGAGAGTCAATATTGGAAAAATATATCAAAGTTTGTTGATGCACCATATGTCAAATATCTGTATAACTTGGTAAGTTTCATACTTTATTTTGATAAACTAATATATAATTATTTAATTTTTAGTATGCTCATATATTATTTCTTATATTGTTTTCCTATGTGATATTATTTGATTTTTTTCCATTATATAAATTTGAATCAGATACATGTCTTATTGGCAGTGAAGATAATATAAATGCAGACATGTTTGTATTTTATTAGAAAAAAACAATTTGAATTATTTATTTTATTGATAGAAAAAAAAATTCAAGTGAATCATCGAAATATAGTCTTAATCCAAGACCTCGACCATCAATAACTGAGATAATACTGATTATATGGATGATAACTATATTATTTGAAGAAATTCGACAAATTATGGCAATGGAATTAAAAACAATACGTGGAAAAGTTACAGAATATCTATCAATATTTTGGAATAAATTAGATTTATTAATTGTAATTTTATTTTTTATTGCAATTATTCTTCGATATATTCCATCACGGAATTGTTTTTGTAGTGCAAGAATTCTATTAGCTCTTGATTTATCTCTTTGGTATATAAGAACACTTGATATATTTTCTGCTATAAAACGACTTGGACCGAAACTTGTTATGATTGGAGCAATGGTAATTTCATTTATTTATTTTTATTTATTTTCTTTTCTTTTATTAAAAAAAGGTTCATGATATGAAATTTTTTATGTTAGTTATAACTGTATTTATATTAGCATTTGGTGTACCTGCGTATAGTTTAATGTATGGTGTTGAGAAATTTTCTTGGTCTATACCACGAAGTATAATAAATATGGCTTATTGGCAAATATTTGGAGAATTAACAATACTTGATGAAATTGAAGGTATAATCGAGAATATTTTAAATTTAATAAAATATTTTTTATGATATTAATATTTAGAAAATTATGATATAAGTGGTTATATTGTATTTATTTTACTTATTTTATACATGACGGTTTCTAGTGTTCTTCTAATTAATCTTCTTATTGCCATGATCAGGTAAAGTACAGGTGTGAGTGTGGGTGTGGGTGTAACTATTCAGCCACACCCACGCCCTGGAATAATTTGTCATTCTATTTGTGAAACAGAGATGACCATAGCGGCGGCAGCTTTTCTATAAAAGAAATTTCAAAAATTCAAGAATTTATACAAAACATCGCCGTTAATATATGCAGAAAGATAAGGCTTGACGAATCTTATTGATAGGCAGGAGTCACTCTAGTTTAAACAGGCCACAGCTTTGAAAATCCAAAGATTTTTTAAAATATCATCGCGACAGCGGCAGATTCTCAGCCGCGATGGACATCTCTATTGTGAAAATAAAACTAATTCTTTTTATTTGTTTAGTAATACATTTGATCGTCTTCAAACAGATACAGATTGTATATGGAAATTTCAACATTATTCATTAGTATGTTATCATTTAACTCGTCCACGTCTTCCACCACCATTTATTATATTTTCACATATTTGGAGAATAATTCTTTATTTTTTTTCACATTATATCAAATTAAAATGGTTTGAAAAAAAATATATTCAATATAAAAATAAAGGAAAATTTCGTAAATAATAATAATAAATTAATTTTATTTAAATAAATTATTTTGTTTTTTAATATTAAAGGAATAATAATTGATGAAAGAATGACAAGAAATATTGAAGCAATTGAAGATGCTTTAGGAAATGAAATTTATTATTTTTTTTCAAAAATTGATCGAAAACAAATTGATTTTCAAACTGATTTTGATGAAGAACGAATGTATTTATTAAAATTAATAAAGAATATTTTTATTTCTTTTATTTATTCTTTCTCCAGACATTCACCGCAACAAATTGTTCTAAATAAAATCAAAACACTTGAAAATCGTGTTAGAACGATACAAAATCAAGTAAATCTTTTTTTTCAATATTCTGTTCTAAAGTATTTTTATTTATTTAGCAAGATGATATGTTTGAATATTTGGAATGTTTAATGAGTGGTATTAAAAAAATAGGTGGTGATGATATTGAAATGCCAAAAGGAACTCGTACAAATTCAGAATTAATATGTAGGTCTTTTAATGGATTTAAATTATTCATTAACACATTCCGAGCGATTTAGTTTTCTTAGAAAACTTCTTCAAAATCTGCACATTTATCGAAAGTCAACTTTCTATTCTCTTCCTCTTGTGTCATCATAAAATTAGTAATTTCTGACGGTCATGTGAAAAGGATCTCTCATAGTAGTCTCGCGTTCTTTGATAGTGTTATAGATAGTATATACAAGATAAGAAAACCAAAAATTCTAGCCTTTCCTCATTTATTTTCATCTTTCTATTCTTTTACATGAGGAAGAGACTGGGGTTTTCGAATAGCTTACAAGCCATTTGAACAAACTTTTATCAAAAAAAGAGAACGCAGACTTACTCAATGATGAGACACTTTCTGATCTAATTGTTTTAATGATAAAGCATCGCACTATATAACCGAATAAAATTTAAGTTTAATTATATTAATAGTAGAATTCTAGCGTCTTGTAATCTCGATGATGAATACTAATGAAAGAATAAAACATATTTAATATAAATCTTATACTAGATAATTTTTCTTTTTATCGTAGGAATATACAATTTCGGTCAACATTAACAAATGAATTAATTCATAAAATTCAAAACAATGGTATTTTATGATAAAAAAAACGTTTTCTAAGCTTTATTGTTTACAATTTATAGAATAAAATCTATATAGTTAAATAATTTTAATAAAATAAAAAATAAATTGAATTGATTGTTTTTCATTTGTCTTATTGAAAATATATTTATGAGTAGATATGTAGAATATACGAAAAAAAAATTGTTTAAATTAAATAAATATATAATTAAAAATAGAAAGAATATTATAAAATTTCCAAAAGAAAAATATATTTTCAATAATAGAAAAATGAAAGAAAGATAAATTGTATAATGAATAATATTGTTAATGGAGTAATTAATATAGATTGAGAAGTAGTTATGTTTTTTATTGGTAATAATTCATAACCATATAAAAGTCGAGTTACTTCACGTCGTGCACTAAGTAGAGCACCATGAGCATATCCATAACTATCAATACTTGTTGCTTCACCAGCAAATAATAAACGATCTTGAATTGGTTCAGATAAAAATAAAGAATCTTCGTATGTTTGATTTACAGAAATATATGAATATGATCCATAAGAGAATGGATCTTCATTCCAATGTGTTACAAAAGTTTCTACTGGTGGAGGAACAACAAAATCAGGAAACATTTCTTGTAAATTCCGTCGAAGTTCTTCAATTAATTCATCGTGATTCTCCTTTAATCTTGTTGGAAAATCTGCTTGACCTGCAAGAAAATATATAAGAACAGGTTTATCATTCCATTTATTTGCATTGACCCAATATCGAACATTATTTGGATTGGATGACATACCCATAAAATAAAAATTAGTCGAATTCCACCAAGCTTGTTCCCATACTAAAAAGACTTTTTCAAAAAATCCATATCCAATACGATCGATAGCATCTAATTTCCATTGAGGTAATTGAGGAGTAAATTCAATTTCTTTAGCTTTTAATACTCCTAATGGTACTGTTAGAAGAACAAATGATGATTGATAAATTTCTCCATTTCTTGTTCTTACTTCAACCATTTTATCAGTATAAGTTATTTTAGTAATAATCTGATTGAATCGAATATCATCAACATCTCGAGCTAAATAATCAGTAAGTGCCATAAAACCAGTTTTATGAAATATATGTTCATCACCATAATGTGATGAACTAAGACTAAGAAAATTTTTAGCACCAATTGCATTTAATTCAGCTCCTTCATTGAATTTAATAGTAAAAGCTAAATAACTGTAGAAGGCATGTTGTTGTTTATCAGTTAAATTCTTTTGTTTGACATATAAATCAGCATAATATGCAAGAGATATGTTTGGTGAAGACATTCGAGTTTCTTCTTTTGTAAAACTAAGATATTCATTATACCAATTATAAGTTTCGGAGATATTACCATCGAATGGATAACCTACATGAATATCATATATATCTGTACCTCGTGTTGGAATTTTAGCTTCTTGAGTAAGATCCCATAGAGGATTTGATAATAAACCATTTGGAATTGAACCATAAATACCATGAATCCAAGTTGCACCTGTATCAAACATATGACCTGTTTTAGAACGTACAGACCAAATACGACCGCCTGTTCGATTTCGTGCTTCTAAAATTATTGTTTTTATTCCTTTTTCACGCAATAATCGAGCAGCTTCTAAACCAGATAATCCAGCACCAATGATCAATACTTGACTTGTATTTATATTCGATATCTCTGAAATTGATCTTCCTTTTTCGAGAGTATCCATCTAATAAGAATAATAATAATATAGAAAAGTTATATATATACAATTAATTATGAAATTCTAAGTAATAGAAGGAACTTTTTATTAGTTAAATGAAGAGAAAATGTAGGTAAATATACTATTTCATCTGCAACTTGATAGAAACAATATATGATTCTTATCATTGTCTCATGTTGATGACGATTTCCTTTATATTTTTTATTTTAAAATAACTTATGTACATTTTTTGTGCTCTACTCGAAATAATTAAAATAAAATAATGATTGAGACAAATATTTAAACTAAATTACTGTAATAAAGTCTTTCTGTTTTAAGTATTGATGTGCAATAAAAGTCTACAGGCAGATGAATCAGAGGTGAAAAGAATCGTTTTTATTTGTGCAGAATGTTAAGAAGAAGGAAGACCGAATTTTTTTATTACTACACTTATCTATATAAAAAATGTATAATCTTAAATTCGAATATATATTCTAATTATCTATTATGATTATGTCTTACAAATATTTATTTATAATTCATACGCACTTACATGAGGTTGTTGCTGTATAAAATGGCCATTGACGACTGTAAACATCATCATGATCTGCATAAGTTGTATCATCATTGTTGAAGTTTACATATATATATAAATGTTGAAAAGATATTACCTATAAATAAATGAATAAGAATAATATTATATATGAAATGAGTTAATAGAAAAATAAAAATAATATTCTTGATCTATTTTTCTTTCGAATGAATGTGTAACAGTTAGAGAGAAATGTAATTAATAAATTTGTATCCACACTTATATATGTCAAGTTGAATAACACTGTTTATTTGCAGTAAGAATGATATCTTAGTAACATGCTTGACAAATAATTATCATAGACAGAATGAAAAAAATTTTCTTTTTAGTTTTTTTTTTCATCATTGATAAATAGATAACATTTATTATTCGTTAATATGAATCTTCATCGACATATATCCTGTTAGATAAAATCAAACAACATATGAATATTTAACTTACAAGATTTCGTTTATGAATTCAATTATACTAAATAACAAAAATATGTCTATACGCCCTGATAGTAGGAGTAAAGTAATAGAATATATATATATATATATATATTTATTTGAATATTAATCCTTTAAATGTTTTTCAAATATTTTACAATACATCATTGTTATTCAATAATCTTTTTGATATTTGACACATTATTGTCATCGAAAAAGCATTGCATTAACTTTTGAAATATTCACTATTCAGTTAAAAGAGTTTATGACATTTGACATAACACATTTCTTTTGATGAATAATAGTCTATAAGAAATGCAAATACGACATGTCTGTATAGGTTGATAACACACTCTTTTATAATATACATGGATTATATAAATGAAAAACATTTCTAATGATACAATTCTACATAAAAATAATTGATGAAAATCAAATGTTTAAAATTAATTATAAATAAATATTTTATTGAATAATTTTTCAATATTCAGTATTAGAAAAGATGCAAATGTCAAATAAATAAAGCCAATAAAAATCAATATATATGATAATAATATATAATTTACATTTATAGAAATAAAATAATCGTTAATTAACAAAATCTAGAAAGTCATTTTTTGTACAAGTTCTATATTTTAATAATTTCTAATCAATCAGATATTTTTTTGCATTCGATTTATTTTATTAAAAAAAATATCTGTTGATTAAAAGCAAATAATATTCATTTATAGATTAAAAAGGTGGACATTTGTCTATGATACGCTTCATCTCATTTATATGTATTCATTATATCAAAAAAAAGGAGGAAAAGGTAAAATAATCCATACAATAGACGTCACATGTATTTTAATGCATAAAAGGTAATGGGTTATGAAATATTAATATTTGCATTGCATTTATTTGTTTTTTCTTAATCTATTCTTACTCGATCATACTCTTCTTTTTATTTTATAAGTATGACGAACAATGCGACAGATCATCGTCTAGATATTCGATCATTGAATACATCTCGAATGTATCGTAACGATAATAATCATGTAATTATAGCATTACTTTTTTTTTTATTAATATTACTTTTTTTTAATTGTATAGTTATTTGAAACACTTCAAATAAAATCCCATGGAACAATAACTTGTAAGTAGAAAATTTTATTTTAAATATTAATTTATTTTCCGTTTTTTTTTGTTTATAGTTCCTCGCAATTATTGTAATCGAGCAAATTTTATTCGAATACCACCTAATGCACCACCTGCACAAGTTAAAAAGCTATTTTTTCGACAACGTTTACATACAGTAAATTTATCTATGAATGAATTGCAACTTTTTCGTATAAGTTCTATAGGATATATAAAAGCAAAAAGTTCTACGAGTACTTAAATTTTCAGTAGAATATATTTTACCTTTCGAAAAATATAAAAAGATATGTTTCTAATTTCAAGTATATCTGAAAATCCTACAAAAGAAGGTTGCAATGCATTCCTATATGTACATATATATATATATGTATAATATATATTTTAATATTAGCGTCCATCACTTGTTATATCAGTAATTGGCAGTGCAAGAGAATATAGTATGAAATCAAAATTATTTCGAATATTTCGTCAAGGTCTTATTAAAGTGGCGAAGAGTACTGGTTAGATTTTATTATAAAATATCTTCAAAGAGTAAAATTGAGATATTTATTTATTTTTTTCAGATGTTTGGGTATTAACAAATGGTATTAATTCAAGTATTACTAAACTTCTCGGAGAAATTAATCGAACAAATCCA